CTCCAGAGCCGCATGCGGCTCTTTTTCACCTTGGCTGTGGCTCCGGAGCACACTGCCCACCAGGTGACAGGCAATAGGGCAGCAATGGGCGAAGACCGGTGTAGCATGAAAATTTGTCTCCTATGAGGATCTGTCCCCCTCGACGTATCTGAGCATGTGCCAGAGATCGCCGATCGGCTGCTAATGCCTGAAACTGGCACATGCGCAGATACGTCGAGGGGGACAGATCCTCATAGGAGACAGATTTTCATGCTACACCCGGCGTGGGAAACGGCGAGAGGAACGCGCGGAGCAAAGGTAAGTGAATTGACACAGGGGGGACTTGGGGACTTAATATGGGGGATGAATTAATATGGGGGATGAATTACTATAGGGGGGATGAATTAATTACTATAGGGGGGATGAATTACTATATGGGGGATGAATTACTATGAGGGATGAATTACTATATGGGGGATGAATTACTATGGGGGATTAATTACTATATGGGGGATTAATTACTATATGGGGGATGAATTACTATGGGGGATTAATTACTATCGGGGATGAATTACTATGGGGGATGAATTACTATATGGGGGATGAATTACTATATGGGGGATGAATTACTATGGGGGATGAATTACTATATGGGGGATGAATTACTATGGGGGATGAATTACTATGGGGGATGAATTACTATATGGGGGATGTATTTTCAGTTTTAAAAATGTGGCTCTCAAAATAAATTTCAATCGTGGTTTTGGCGAGATTTGGCTCAGTTGAAAAAAAAGTTGCCCACCACTGACCTAAGGCTATGATTGTGATTATGACGATACACTGTGGCCCTGATTAACCTTTTGCTTACTGGGCCCTTAAACCCCCTTCATGACCAGAGCGCTTTTTGCAATATATGCAGTGTCCGATTTGTTTTAAATGTTGCAATGGTTTTGCAGCTCCCAGTCTTTTTTTTCCCTCTCGGAAACGGGTCCAAGTGGCTCTTTATGTCTTAAAGGTTGCAGACCCCTGTCTTAGACAAAATGTCTCTTTCCCATGCTGTGACCGGACAGTGAAAGGAAAAGCATGAACACATCAGTGTGTTATCTGTGTCGCTGTTCTTTGCCTCCTGTCTGCTTGTTCCTTGCACTACAACACAACTGAATATCTTTTTGTGCTGCTGCTTCTTCTTCTCCCATCTGAGCTTTACTGTACTGCAACAGGCTGATTCTTGGTCATATTCAGGAACTTACACTGCTTTCATTAGAAATAAAAGGAACCTTTTGATGTATTAATGAGTAGAGAGCTGCGTTAATTTGTGCCTTTCATATCTGCCTAGAATTCAGCCTTAAATTGCTGCTTTAAACATATTTCATGTTTTGTCAATTTGTATTATGAGTTGGTGCTTGTTTTTTTTTTCTCTTATTGTATCAGTGAAACGGAACTTTTTTGCTTGCACTGTTTGCAATACTGTATACATTCCTGGTGCACTCTCTGCATCTGCAAGATGCCAAGAGTGGCAGCCAAGAAGGATAATGTAACTCCAGCATGCATATGTAGGAGCTGCATTATCACTGGTTGCCTAATAATCAAAGAAGGAATAAATTTGATGCAAATGAATTGGCGGAGAAGATGGTAGCTGTGGTGACAGAGAACAAGGAGCTGTCATTGCCGAAAAGATGAAAATTAGGGGAAAGTCTGCCTTATTGTGCAAGTATGACATGCACACATGCTTCCATGACCCACACAGGCTCAGCTTCTCTTTAAAGTGCATCTAAACCCAAAAACACAAAATTGTAATTTATTGAAGCTTAGATGTGGTGGTAGATGTGGTGGCTACATTTGTTTTCTTTTTACAGGTGTTTTTCACCTTGCAAACAGCACAATTCCAGTCGCATCATATCTCATTTCTCTATTGCATATATGGGGGCAGCCATGGTTGTCACATAGGCTGGGATTAAAAAATGTCTGCCTTTGTTCATTTCCATTACATGGTGGATAGGTAGGATTGATAGGTTACACAAGGAGAATAAGGATGGTTGTGCTTTATTTTCTGCACTTGTTGAAAATGTTCTTACCCAGAAAAATAAAAACGAATGCAGCCACCACATCTAAGCTTCAGTATATTAAATTTTTGTTTTTATGCCTTTCAGGTATATTCAGGTTAGGGGGATTCCAGCAGTCATATTTGTACACATAATAACTATTCAGGTGCGGAAAGTCCACAGAAAAATGAGGGAGCATTACAAAGGGGTAAAGCAATGTAATGGAAGGTAACCTCTAACCTCGCCAGGGCTGTCATGCATAAAGGTAAACTGGGTATTAATCAGTACTTATATGTAAATGTACCATTTAGGTTGAAGAACATCAGCAGCGACTTCAAAAACAGTACAATGACAATGTGGCAGAGAAAGACCAGCTGGCGTACAGGAAACAGCTCACCACCAAACGCCTGGAAAGGGCCTCGGTGCTGATCACTGCTCTGGAGGAGGAGAAGGTACTATGCAGAACTGCTATTTAGAGAGAACCAGTCACAATTGGGCGTAAGCAAAAATCTGAACATTCTTATCTTTGTTGTTCAGACTTCCCTATTAGCTAAGATGTTTACATTTGCCCTCTAGTATGGCTATAGCCAAAATATTTATTTTAGTTTTAGACACAGTAGAATAGGTTAAAGTCCCTGTCAGGTTTTATTCTATATTGAGTGGATTGATGTCGCTAGATACCTGGAGCTTTTCCTTATTACCACTCAGTGGTGGAGTTGATATGCAGTGTCTGGGCAGCCTCTCCACACCTGAAAGGGCTTCCATGGTCACCCCAGGCTATTACTGGGATGAATAAATCTAAAATTGAAGTTCCACATCATGATCGGGTAGTCTAGATACAAGTTTATTGCGTTGTAAAATCAGATGAAAAGCGTACACAAATCAAACACATTTTAGAAGCTAAGCCTTGTCCCTTCTTTAAGGTTTAAAAAATGACATTGAAAATATAACCATAAATGTCACTGGACTTATTTGTTTTGGTTTCTTTGTATGTATGGATTGCATGGATTGTTACCGACATGTGGTGAAAATTTCATGTCAATAGTACCTTTAGAGTGGGGACAGCCCATGCTGAAGCACACAGTGCGCAGAAGTCGCCAGCTGTCTGCAGAGTCAATAGCTGAAGACTTCCAAACTTTGTGTGGCCTTCAGATTAGCACAACAACAGTGCGTAGAGAGCTTCATGGAATGGGTTTTCATGGCCGAACAGTTGCATTCAAGCCTAACATTACCTAGCTCATTGCAAGCCTAACATTACCTAGCTCATTGCAAAGCGTCGGATGCAGTGGTGTAAAACACTGGACTCTAGAGTAGTGGAGACGTGTTCTCTGGAGTGACCAATCACGCTTCTCTGTGTGGCAATCCGATGGATGTGTCTGGGTTTGGTGGTTGCCAGGAGAACGCTACTTGCCTGGCTACATTGTGCCAAGTGTAAAGTTTGGTGGAGGGGGAGGATTATGGTGTGTGATTGTTTGAGGGACCGGGCTTAGTCCCTTAGTTCCAGTGATGGGAACTCTTAAGGCGTCAGCAAACCAAGACATTTTGGACAATTTCATGCTCCCAACTTTGCGTGAACAGTTGGAGGATGGCCCCTTCCTGTTCCAACATGACTGCACACCAGTGCACAAAGCAAGGTCCATAAAGACATGGATGAGCGAGTCTGGGGTGGAGGAACTTTACTGTCCTGCACAGAGTCCTGATCTCAACCCGATAGAACACCTTGGGATGAATTAGAGCAGAGACTACAAGCCAGGCCTTCTCGTCCAACATCAGTACCTGACCTCACAAATACGCTTCTGGATAAATGATCAAACATTCCCATAGACACACATCTAAACCTTGTGGACAGCCTTCCAGCAGATTTGAAGCTGTTGTAGCTGCAAAGGGCGGGCCAACTCAATATTGAACCCTATGGACTAAGACTGGAATGCCATTAAAGTTCATGTGCGTGTAAAGGCCGGCGTCCCAATACTTTTGGCAATATAGTGTGTGTGACAGTCTTTTGCTAGAATTAACACAGCAGTTTGTTTATTTCTGAGTCCCGCTTGGGCTATTGTTTTATTACTTGTTGAACATGGCAGTAGAGTTCATGTGCGTGTGCTAATACTTTTGGCTATATATAGTGTGTGTGTGTGTATATATATATATATATATGTGTGTGTGTGTGTGTGTGTGTGTGTATATATATATATATATACAGTATATATATGTGTGTGTGTGTATATATATTTAAATAGTGCATGATTAAGCCGTGATAAAACAAATGATTGCATTTCACATCATAATCTAAAAGAGGGGTAAAATTATCTATTATAAACAAGATATTAAACAATGTATCATTAATAAAAATATACATATTATTAAGTAACAGATTCGAAGATATACCACATAAAATCCAACAGAGTGCGGAGCATACTTGTAAATTACATTGCTATGTACTTGTTGCTGCTGCTTGCTTTTTTTTTCATTAGAAAACTTTTTATTGGTTTCATTATATGCAAGAAGAAAACATTAACCACCATGTAGTCTAGTGTATGCAGGAGCAGACTACCTGGAACCAATGGCAGGTACACAGTACCAACATATGTAAAAAGAAAATACCAAAACATATCCAGAACACAAATGAAGTATGTGTGTGGCTCAAGCTGAAGTATGAAAACATTCAGAGATATTTCCTCAACATTGGTCCCCCCATTATAAGACAGAATAACAGGAGAAAGGAGGCGTTGCCGCTGCTTTTTAAATGAGCCCATGTATGTTCCCTTTGAAGCCATTTATAAGGCTATGTTCCAGTTTTGATGACCGCATTGCTACCCTTCATAGGTTCGCTGGAAAGAGTTGGTGGACAGGCTGGACCTTCGATTGGATGGAATTGTCGGTGATGTCCTGGTTTCAGCTGCATTCATTGCGTACTGTGGTGTGTTTACATCAGAGTATCGAGCACAGTTGGTTGAGCAGTGGCTGGGATTCTGTGGAAACTACAAGATACCGGTGTCAGAAGATTATTCCTTCATTAGAGCAATGGCTGGAAGGAGTGAGGTAAGGTACCCCCTCTATATGTGTTCTCTGTGTGTAAAAATCAGTAATGCGAGGTCCTCCCCTGGTTTGCCAGTAGATACAGGGGATGCCACATATATAAATGTTTTCATACAAAAGTGCAGCTACCATTTCGTGTGTGTGTGTATGTATGTGTGTGTATGTGTGTGTATATATATGTATATATGTATATATATATATACAGTATAATGTTATATGCAATTCCATAGTGCCTTCATTTGCTCAGTGCTGTGACACAATTTCCCCCTCTGTCTTTGTCTGGTAGGTGAGGAGGTGGCAGAGTGAAGGGTTACCCCCAGACCCATACTCCACAGAAAATGCCATACTTGTAAAGAATGGTCGGCGCTGGCCTCTTCTTATTGACCCCCACGATCAGGCCTATAACTGGATTCGCCAGATGGAAGGCAAGAAACTGCGCCAGGTTCTGGCCTCCGACCCTGGCTATATGAAGACCTTGGAAAATGCCATACGCCTTGGGGAGCCTATACTATTACAGGTGTTTTGTAAATGTATAACACACCCTTTCCATGGACTGTCTACATCTGTCCTGCTTAAGGGGGTACCTGTTTGAGCAATGTAACTGAATTATGTGCCAAATGGTGGGTTGCATTTGGTTAGAGTGGGCAAGACTTGTGACATCAATAAGTTGAATTCAAAGGTTGTATTTCTGTCCATTTGGTGCTGAGATATATACAGCTCTGCCACACAGCAGAACTAGGTGGAGACACCATTTACAGTAGTATCTAAACCACAGAAGAAAAATTTAATATATTGCATCTTACCAGTCTTTAGATGTTGTGGCTGCATTCGTTTTTTTTTTTTTTTTAACGTTTTTTTTAAAATATATTTTCACATAGTGATCCTGCCAGTAGCACATTTACTGTCCTAGGGTGACAACACTCACTTACTGTACTGTCTATATGGAGGAGAAGCATTGTTACCCTAAGACATGACTGCAGAACACCTCCTACTCTCCTGCAACCCATGGGGGAAATGTTCTGTGGTCCATAGAGGAGAATTAGGCCAAATTGACAGAAGTGTTTCAGATTCCAGTGCAGTACAGGCCGAGAGCACAAGAAATTAGGAACTCGCAAGATTTCTGTCAAAATCAACGGGTAATTTTATGCACTTACCGAACAGATATATCAAAATGCTTTCAATGTTTTTTTTTAACAGACCAATGTCACAAGTTAGCCTCTTGTTTGTTTATTCTTACCTCCTTGCTGCTCCTGATTCCTTTCACGTGTGCTTTGTCTGTGCTCACCTATGGGCGTCATCTGCTATCCTCTGGGTTTTATTTCCTTCCCTTCCATCACTTCCTGGCCCGCCTCCTAGTTTGCTTGTCTATATAAGACATGCTCAGTCTGTTGCACTTTGCCTGAGCAACTTCCTTGTTGTCTGAGGTCCTGTGTGTTGCTATTGCCTGTATCCTGCATTGACTACTCGTGTTCCGACCCCGGCTTCGTTCTCTGACTGTGCTTGTTTTCAGCCCGTCCTGAGCTCGACTAGTCTATCAGATTTCCGTTATCTCCTCCCATTGTACTCTGCTCCCGTGAGCAGTCTCCTCATCCTCAGCTGGGCCACGACCTGGTCCCAGCTTGCTGCAAGTCCATGCCCATCATCATGGGCTCTGGTGAAGAAGCAGGCTGGGGCTTAGACTCCGCGCCCTGGGGAATCCCAAGTTGACCATCTACAAGGGCTCACTACCACGGATGCTGACAACCAAAGGGGAGCAAATAAGATAAATTCATTATTTACAAACACTTAAACCTGGACTATATATGCCATTGTTTTTGTTTCTCTGACCACTTGTTTTTTACAATATCTGCTTCACTTTTTGTTTGCCATGTCTTGTTCTAATGATATAATGATAAAGCGTAGGGAGCAGTTTGAGAACAAAGCATAAAACATGCTATACAATAAAAGAAATTGTACAATTACGGCTCATTTACAGTAGAAACTGCATCTACTGCATGTTTTTTTTTTCATTTGATATGTGTTTACATGCTTTTACTTCTATCAACTATTTATACTTTAATTCTTGAGAGTAGGTGTGTAAATTGGAGCAGGCTGGTAGAGGCCCCAGTGCATTACTTTGCCCAGGGGCCAATGATGCTATTAGGACAGCCCTGTCAAAGTGCCTTAGAGAGGCAGGAACACTGGACTAGTCGCATGGTTGGGGGGGAGCCTGCCAGAGCCAGGAATAAGGTAAGTATTACACTTTATCCTTGCACCTCTAGATTAAACAAGCAAACCCTTGGGGTCCCCATTTTTCTGAATCTTTGAGTTCAGCTTTTAGGATGTTAAGGTTCACCTTTGCTGGAAATAGTCATTTTTCAGTTGTATGGTCACTGAGCTTCATGTTAATTCCTAAAAGCACTAAAGTATACTTACTGTATATAAAGCCAAAACATTTTTGTTTTCATTTTGGATATCATAGGGAATGGTTAAGCCCCCTGTCAGGTTTTCCTTATTGCCACTGGGGAGATTTCCCCCATTTTTTGTTCTGTAGATATCTTTTCAAAGTGACAAATTCCCCTCTTATACAGTTGTTGTCAAAACAAGTTTTGGTTTTAGATACACTTTAAATTTTACATTAAAGTATAACTCTGGGTCCCAAATGACAAGTGGCTGTTGTCATACATCACCATCACTATACACGTTCCAATTCGTACTTTGACCATACAGTCTTTGTACTTTAGAACTTTGTATTTAACAAAAATGATGTAATAAGATGACAATTCCTAAGCTATCCAATTTGTGGATCTAAGGAAGTTTGTACAATAAGGTTGTGCCATGAGTGGTGAGCTTTACTCACTCAACTAAGAAAAAAAAAGGTGTAAGTGTCTGTATCCTCATTGCGGGTATATTCCCTCACTTCCTTGCCCAGTGATGGTAGAGAAATCTCCATTTCTTGGGACAGGACATTTCCAAGAAGTGAGGGAACTTCACCCCAACAGGGCATTAACATGTTTGGACACCTTCCCTCCTTGGACTGCTGTTTCATTTAAAACCATGTGTGTTATTATATTTAATTATTATTACAATTATAATTAGTAGCAATAGTATATATCAGTACTGTTATTAGTATTCAGATGCAACCCACTTATTAAGTCCTGTTTTATTAGGATGTTTCAGAAGATTTGGATCCTAGTTTAAAGCCAGTTTTGGGAAAAGAAATTCACAGTCGGGCTGGACAAGATTTTATACAACTAGGTGATTCTGAAATCGTGTACAACCAGAATTTTAGGTAAGGTGTTATTTTGCATCCACATTAAAGAATTCTTGAATTTTTCACATCTCCATGTATTAAAATATTATTAAAGGCAAAACCTTTTTTTTTTTGGTTGGAGTGGAGAGGGATTAGAACCTCTGTCAGTTTTAATTACTGTCTGTGCCCCTGTCAAGGAGATTCTCCCTCATTATTTCTCCTGTTTGCCATTATCATGGAAAGTACAATTAAGAAAACCCCAAATTTTGGGTTGTCCCTAGAAATGTAATAGAGGGGAAATCTTCCAATGGGGGTGCTAATTCTGGTAACCTGGGGGTCTCCAAGGAATTCCCTAATTTGCAGGGATTTTGTCTCTTTCCTGTTTGGCTATGGGACAGAAAGTGAAAGGAAATCTATGAAATGGGACACAGATGAGGAAAAAAAAATCTGACACAGGTTATAACCCCAAATTTTGGGTTGTCCCCAGAAAAGTAATAGAGGGGAATTCTTCCAATGGGGGCTGCTAATTCTGGTGACCTGGGGGTCCCCAAGGCACTCCCTAATTTGCAGGGATTTCCTTTCTTTTTCCTGTTTGGCCATGGGACAGGATTTGCAAGGAAATCTGCAATAGTACCCAGATGGCAAAAAAAAAATCTGACAGAGGTTATAACCCTCCCTTACTTTATCCAAAATGAAAAAAAAAAAGCTTTGCCTATAGTTCTACTATAACACACATCTTAACTAAAATCTCTCTCTCTCTCTCTCTCTCTCTCTCTCTCCAGACAAGGCCACCAATAGTCTTCGAAGTGGCTGAAACTTTTTATAAACCATTCGTCCAATGAATCTGCTTGTATATTTAGTCTATGCAAATTGGGCAACACAAATGTTGAGGCTATTTATCTGTTCTGAACAAATGTTCTTTTTTTGTTTGCAGTAGCAAAATGTCACATTTTGGCCACTAGATGGAGCTGAGGATAATAGGAAATACATATGTCTTTGTAACAAGGGATATTATGTATTCTAGAGCAGTGTTTTTCAACCTTTTTTGTGCAAAGGCACACTTTTTTCATGAAAAAAATCACGAGGCACACCACCATTAGAAATTGTTTAAAAAATTTACCTCTGTGCCTATATTGACTATATATAAAGTAATTCTCTTGAATAGGAATCAAACACAAAGGAATTATTTTATAATTACTTTATTATGAAATAATAAAGTATTTTATAATTGGACCCGGGGGCCGGACCAAGAGTAGATGAATGATGTGTATGTGTCATCCATAGTAAGTATAGTAATATTCCCCCATAGTAAGCATAGTAATTAATCCCCCATATAGTAATTCATCCCCCATAGTAATTCATCCCCCATATAGTAATTCATCCCCCATAGTAATTAATCCCCCATATAGTAATTCATCCCCCATAGTAATTCATCCCCCATAGTAATTAATCCCCCATATAGTAATTAATCCCCCATATAGTAATTCATCCCCCATATAGTAATTCATCCCCCATAGTAATTCATCCCCCATATAGTAATTCATCCCCCATATAGTAATTCATCCCCCATAGTAATTCATCCCCCATATAGTAATTAAACACCCATAGTAATTCATCCCCCATATAGTAATTCATCCCCCATAGTAATTCACCCCCCATATAGTAATTCATCCCCCCTATAGTAATTCATCCCCCATATAGTAATTCATCCCCCATATAGTAATTCATCCCCCTATAGTAATTAATCCCCCATATAGTAATTCATCCCCCATATAGTAATTCATCCCCTATATAGTAATTCATCCCCCATAGTAATTCATCCCCCCTATAGTAATTCATCCCCTATAGTAATTCATCCCCCATATAGTAATTCATCCCCCATAGTAATTCATCCCCCATATTAAGTCCCCAAGCCCCCCCTGTGTCAATTCACTTACCTTTGCTCCGCGCGTTCCTCTCGCTGTTCCGGTGTAGCATGAAAATCTGTCTCCTATGAGGATCTGTCCCCCTCGACGTATCTGCGCATGTGCTAGTTTCAGGCATTAGCAGCCGATCGGCGATCTCCGGCACATGCGCAGATACGTCGAGGGGGACAGATCATCCTGACAGTATCACGCTCCGCGGGCCGGATTAAAAGGTCCGCCGGGCCGTAGTTTGCCCATTGCTGTTCTAATGATTGGTCTATTTGTGAGCCGAGGCCACATGTTACGGATGAAATTGCAATTTTTCCCACGGCACACCAGACAATATCTCACGGCACACTAGTGTGCCGCGGCACAGTGGTTGAAAAACGCTGTTCTAGAGAATGCCGGAGGGAATTAGCAATAACTATTGGCTACATTTATTTATTAATTCCCCTAGTTTTACTTAGAATTATTACATTGTATCTTTTGTTTTAAAGATTGTTTTTTTTATGCTACAAAACTCCATCTAGTGTCCATAATGTGGTGTTTCGCCATATAAAAATAGTCTAAAATGGATAAAAATAGTCTAAACAATGTTTGTTTGTGCCTAATTCATGCAGTACAAATGTACGTGCAGACTCACTGGATGATTGTGCATGCTGATGTTTTATAAGTAGACCCCACAGTGTAGCTTATTACAAAAATGTAATGTATTGCAGCTTGCCAGTCCTCAGATATGGTGGCTGCATTTGTTTTCCTTTTTTTAGGATTTGTTTTTTACCTGGTGATCCTGCTAGAAATACACTCCCTGTCCAGGGGTGACACCACTCACTCACTGGGCTGTATCTATTGAGGAGCTGCATTGTCACCCTAGGACAGGAAGTGTGAAAGAACTACAGAACATCCCCTCTCCCCTGACCTTCATAACATAGAGGAGCGGTGCCCTGTAATTTACTTAGAGAGCTGGGTAAAACTGATAACAGTCAGAATACACAGAGAACACAGGAGGTTATCAGCTCACAAACTTTCTGGCAGGACCAACCAGTTATCTTTTGCAGTTATTAAACAGATGTAACAAAACACTTTCAATAACATATTTAATAGACCAAAAAGAACAAAAAAAGTTCATTTTTAGAGTTTACTTACACCATTGCCAGATGTATAGTCCTGTGCAAAAGCAGGTGAGGGAATTTGTAAAGAGATCTCCACAATAGATAAAGAAGATTCAAGCTTTATAAATTCTTTCTGTATGGGTTAAAATATGTCCAACATATAGATCCCTCCCCAAATTTGTTGGGTTCTAATTTATTTTAACCAATGAAGATTGACTTTATTACACCAGAATTTTCATAGGCCATAGAACACTTCTGCACTTTACTAAACATTTTGTCTGGAGTTAGACCTCTAGATACTGGCAACCATAGAGATTCTGCCAGCGGGTTATTCAGCTACACAGGATGAAAATGTAAGTCATGCAGCTGGTAGGTACAAATGTATAATATAATTTTACTTATTTCAGGTACTTATATAGCGCCATCAATTTACGCAGTGCTTTACATATATATTGTACATTCACATCAGTCCCTAATCCTCAAGGGCTGTACAATCTAAAGTGCCTAACTCACATTCATACATACACATACTAGGGCAATTTAGACAGGAGCCAATTAACCTACCAGCATGTCTTTGGAGTGTGGGAGCAAACCGGAGTACCAGGAGGAAACCCACGCAGGCACAGGGAGAACATGCAAACTCCAGGAAGGTGGTGCCGTGGTTGGGATTTGAACCGACGACCCTAGTACTGCCAGGTGGAAGTGCTAACCATTTAGCCACTGTTTTTTAATACTGATAGACTTGTGATAGACCAATGGATAGACAATGATAGACCTATGGATAAAATAGAAGAATATTGTTGTATACATTTATTAAACAATTACAATTCTCTCATTCCAGGCTCTACATGTCCACCCAGAACCATAGCCCTCACTTCCTGCCTGCTGTTTGTATCATGGTGACTGTGATCAGCTTTACAGTAACATTTAAAGGGCTGCAGGACCAGCTGTTGTCCAGCGTGGTAACACACGAGCAGCCCCACCTGGAGTTGCAGAGGAACGATTTACTGGAGAATATATCTTCTGATCTATCCACGCTGCGAGATCTGGAGGAACGCTCACTCACTTTATTGCAGAAAACAGAAGGTAATTTGGCCAAAAGTGAAAAACAGGAGATTATAACAGGAGTCTACTAACCTGTGAGTGACAACTGATATTTCCTGTTAGTAATATTAATATTGTAACTGGGATATGAGTGCTAGCAGGGTTGAAGGTTTTGTGCTGTGCACAGTGTGCCGCATGTATGTAACAATGGAGAAACAGCTTCAGGATGGATACCGCTGCGACAGATGTGAGCGGGTTGCCTTTCTGGAAGCTCGCATTAGATATCTGGAGGAGCAAGTTGCAACACTGGGCAGAACCGACAACCTTGAAAGGGGTCTTCTGCTCCCTGAGCAGGTAGCTAATGGGATTGATATGGAGGGACTAATCAGGATTTTCAGGTAGGAAGATGGATTATTGTAGCGAGAGGAAGTGGTAGGAGCTCACAGAAAAGGAAGGCCTGCCATGGGTTTGTGCAACCAAACAGATTTGTCAAGTTTGGTGAAGATGTGGGGGTGGCAAGCTCAGGGGTGGCAGCCCTGGATGTCACTGCTATCTCTAACAGCCGGGAGGGCAGACCATCTTGTAGGGGTGGTGAGAGTAGTGCAGGTAGGCATAGACAGCTGGTGGTAGTAGGGGATTCTATAATCAGAAGGACTGATAGAATAAATTGTCACCAAGATTGCCTCAACCGAATGGTTTGCTGTCTCCCTGCTGCCAGGGTTCGTCATGTGATGGACCGGGTTGATAAATTACTGGGAGGGGCCGGGCATGACCCAGCTGTCTTGGTCCATGTTGGAACCAATGACAGAATACATGGAAGGTGGAGGCTCCTTAAGAATCAATTTAAAGAACTAAGCTGCCAGTTGAAGGGAAGGACCTCCAAGGTATATTCTCTGAAATAGTACCTGTGCCATGCGCAACTCCAGAAAGACGGGCAGATTAGAGAACTAAATGCATGGCTAAAGACCTGGTGTAACAGGGAAGGATTTGGGTTTCTAGAGCACTGGGCTGACTTTTCATTGGGGTGCAACCTATATGCTAGAGATGGTTTGCTCCTAAATGGAAGGGGGTCTGCTGTGCTGTGGGAGAGGTTTATGGGATGGCTGGAGGAGTATTTAAACTAGGATCTAGGGGGAAGGGAGAATTAAATTATAATGGGGTAAACAGATCAGACAGGGGTCAGTTCTTATTGGTGGGTGGAATGGGGAAATATGAGGGGAGGGCTATGGCAGATGATAAGAAGGTTCCCATGTTACAAACAACCATTGGAATTTGTACCATTTGTAGGAAAATAAAAAAATATACAAAATACGTGTGCACAAGGTGTCGATGAATTAAAGTGTTTGTTCACCAATGCCAGAAGTCTGCCAAGCAAAATAGGTGAGTTGGAAGCTTTGGTGCATGAACAGAACTATGATTTAATTGGAATTGCTGAATTTTGGCTTCATTCTTCACATGACTGGGCCATTAATATTCCTGGCTATATTCTCTTTCTGAGAGATAGGGTAAAAAGGAAAGGTGGTGTCTGTCTCTATGTGAGAAGTGATCTCAGAGCGAGTGAGAAAGAGGACCTAGTTGATGGAGAGTGTGATGAGGCTGAAGCATGGATGTAAGTATGGGTGGAACTGCACATGGGGGTGTGTACTACAAAGGTAATCATTGGAGTTTGTTATAGTGTTATATAGTGTTAATGAGGAGGTGGAGACTCAGCTCCTTGCACAGATTGAAGGGAATGCAAGGGCTGGGACGGTGATAATAATGGGGGATTTTTAACTACCCAGAATTTGACTGGAGTAATGGTACTACAGGAGCAGTCAAAGGGCAAACATTTTTAAACCTACTACAGGACAATTTTATGGTACAGTTCATAGAGGCCCCAACTAGGAATGATGCTCTGCTGGACCTGGTAATCTCAAGTCATGCAGAGCTTATTCCGAATATCCATTTAAAAGAAAACATCTGGGTAGCAGTGACCATAACATGCTTTCATTTATTGTTGGCTGTATACAGCAAGCACATGCGGGGGAAAAAAAATGCTCAACTTTAAAAGAGCTAATTTTCCAAGGCTGAGAGCTGCTTTCCAAGACTTAGACTGGGAGGGAATATTGGCATCAATGAACACAACACAGAAATGGAAGTTCTTCAAAGACTGTATGTGAACACACTGCAAAATATATTCCCATGGGCAACAAGTTTAAAAGGCTAAAAATCAAACCTTTGTGGCTTACGGCCAAAGTTAAAAAAGTTATAGATAATAAGAAAAGAGCTTTTATTAAATCTAAAAATGAAGGAATGCTGTCATCGTTTAAACATTACAAAAAAATATAACAGAATATGCAAAAAGGAAATAAAAACCGCAAAAATTGAAGATGAAGATTGCAAAAGATAGCAGGACAAACCCCCCAAAATTCTTCAAATATATTAATAGTAAAAAGGTCCGGTCTGAGCATGTTGGCCCCTTTACAAAATAATCTAGAGTGGGTGACTGGGGACAAAGAGAAGGCAAACTTATTAAATACCTTCTTCATCTCTGTGTATACAGAGGAGCATGGGGGAGCTCTTGCCCATAATGGGCATGGTAATGACACAGCTCCAGATGATCCACATTGGCTCACAATTGATATGATACAAAAATATTTAGACAGAATAAAGGTAAATAAAGCACCTGGACCGGATGGCATACACCCACGGGTCCTTAAAGAATTGAGCTCTGTCATTTCAAAGCCATTGTTTCTGATTTTTAGGGGCTCTTTAATGACTGGCATAGTACCACTGGATTGGCGTAAGGACAGTGTGGTGCCTATATTTAAAAAGGGGTCAAAGTCTTTACCAAGTAATTATAGACCTGTTAATTTAACTTTTTTAGTTGGGAAGATATTGGAGAGTTTATAACAGACCACATAGATGAGTTCTTGATGGAAAAATCAGACAGGCAACAGACAGAATGAATTCATGAAAGACAGAAGTTGTCAAACAAATCTGATTTCTTTTTGAGGAAGTGAGCAAAACCTTGGACAGAGGGGTGGCAGTGGACTTGGTATACTTGGACAGAGGGGTGGTGGTGGACGGGATATACTTAGATTTTGCAAAAGCGTTTGATACAGTTCCCCACACACGGCTAATATGTAAGGTAAAGTCTACAAGCTTGGAAAAATCCATATGTAAATGGATAGAAAACTGGCTAAAAGATCGTATTCAGAGAGTAGTGGTTAATGGTTCATACTCGGGTGGTCTAGGGTTGTTAGTGGTGTACCCCAAGGTTCAGTGTTGGGACCCTTACTTTTTAATATATTTATAAGTGATATAGGGTCTGGGATTAAAAATACCATTTCAGTCTTTGCAGATGACACCAAGCTGTGCAGTGGAATAATGTCCTTACAGGATGTCTTCAGTTTACAAGCCGACCTCAATGCACTGTTTAATTGGGCAGCTATGTGGCAAATGAGGTTTAATGTTGATAAATGTAAGGTTCTGCACTTGGGGGCTAAGAATATGCATGCATCACACAGGGGCGGACTGACCATTTGGAAACTCGGGCACTGCCCGAGGGCCCGGGGTCAGTAGGGGGCCCCATGAGATGCCCCTGGTACCTTTTTCATAGGCTTTTTTGAGTTTGGGCAAGGACACAGGGGCCCCATGATCCCCTATTGCCCGGGGGCCCCATGAGTTGTCAGTCCACCCCTGCATCATACATACTAGGGGGTGTACAACTGGGGGACTCAATGGTGGAGAAGGATCTGGGGGAATCAGTGGTGGAGAAGGATCTGGGGGTTCTGGTAGATCACAAGCTTAACCCCTTGACGCCAACAGCACACAAATATGCGACCTCACAGAACTGGGCTTTTGTCCGCACGGCGCACTCCCAGCACAGAGACCGCGGTATCACTGAGAGCCCCGGGTCCCGTTCTAATGATCAGGACCTGGGACTCCCAATTCCGGGGGAACGTGATCGCTGTGATAACCTTTGATTGACTATCACAGTGATCAGTCACTGTGCAGCCCGGCCCCCTTGTTTTTTCTCTCTCTATGAATGGAGAAGAGAGATACATTGTATCTCTCTAACTCCTGACATAGAGAGATAAAAAAAGTTTGTAAAAAAAAAAAAAAAGATAAATAAAAGAAAAAAATAAAGAAAAATACCTAGATCAAGGTTTGATCTAGTTCAGTGCAGGGCTAGTGTTTGGGTCAAGGTCAGGGTCAAAGGTCAGGGTCAAATGTCAGGATTTAAAAAAAAATTGGTATCAGTGTCAGTTAGCATTAATGTCAGTGTCAGTGTGTTTTAGTTAAAAAAAAAAAAAAAACAACAAAAAAAAAATAAAATGCGTACTATTGTTTCTGGGCTGTACTACGGGTACAAACAACAAATAACATACACATATATGGTATCGCTGCGATCGTCAAGAGCTGGAGAATTTATTTTGGGTTGTTCTATGGAGCTAGGTTATGGTTGTAACAAGAAACACACAGCTAAATAAAAAAAATGATTTTTTTTTTTACTATTTTGGGCCAGTTTTCATTTGATAATAAAAACAATTAGGAGCTATCCATTACCATTTACCACCAAATGAAAGCCCAATTTGTCCTGAAAAAAAACAAGGTATAATCCACCTGGATGTACAAAGTAGTTGTGATGATATGTACGGTTTTACTAGCACATGTCAACGTTGCAGAATTGTGCTTAGGCATTTAGATTTGCTTTACCCTTAGGCATAAAGGGGTTAATAATGGCATGCAATGCCAAGCTGCGGTTTCTAAAGTGACAAAATCCTCTCTTGTATTAAAAGAGGTATAGACTCCAGAGAGAGAGATATCATATTACCCCGGTACAAATCATTAGTAAGACCTCATCTGGAATATGCAGTTCAGTTTTGGGCACCAATTCACAAAAAGAACATTGGGGAACTGGAGAAAGTACAGAGAAGGGCAACCAAACTGATAAGAGGCATGGAGGAGCTCAGCTATGAGGAAAGATTAGAGGAACTGAATTTAATCTCTCTCGAGAACAGGAGATTAAGGGGGGATATGATCAACATGTATAAATACATCAGTGGTTCATATAGTGAACTCGGTGTAGAGTTATTCACCCTGAGGTCATCACCGAGGACAAGGGGGCACTCTTTACATCTGGAAAAAAAGAAATTTATTTTCAAAACATGGAAAGGTTTCTTCACAGTAAGAGCTGTGAAAATGTGGAATAGACTCCCTCAAGAGTTGGTTCTGGCCAGCTCAGTGGATTGCTTTAGAAAAGGCCTGGATTCTTTCTTAGATACACAGAATATAACTGGATACTAACATTTATAGGTAAAGTTGATCCAGGAAATATCCGATTGCCTCTCAGGGGATCAGAAAGGAATTTTTTTCCCCTGCAGGAGCAAATTGGATCATGCTTTGCTGTTTTTTTTTGCCTTCCTCTGGATCAAATGTCGGTGTAGGATTATAACTTTTTTTTTTTTTTTTTTTTTGTGGTTGAGCTGGATGGACTTTTGCCTTTTTTCAGCCAGGCTAACTATGTAACTATATATATATATACACACACACACACGCACAGAAGTTATCGCCTTTAAACTAGCATAGTTAGTAACTTAGCAACTAATGCCAAGTTCTTTGTAAATCAATAATGAATATTCACCTATACTACAGTGAATTCGTTGTACGCCATGTTGGGATCCAACAATGCAATGCCCAGTGCCTGAGCAGGCAATCAGCAGACCGAGGGATTGTCATTTGGGGGAGAGAGGGAGGGGGATGTTTTTAGCTATTCAATGCTGGACAAGCAAAACCTGAAGTAAAAGGTATTCATGTAAAAGTGTAATTAATTTCATAAGTTATTTATAATCCCTTTTATATTTGTCTGTAGTTTGCATAATCAGGTTAAGAACCTTATGTCTACATAGCACAATACTGGCCACTGTAGTATGACCTTGTAACTATTTAACTAGGACACCTACTCGATGATGAGGACCTCATTGACACTCTACAGAAATCCAAAATGACGTCTAAGGACATTGTAAAGAGAATGAAGGCTTCTGAAAAAACAGAGGAAACCATTGAAGCAGCCCGTGGTATCTACCTACCTTTGGCCTGTAGAGGGGCCGTGCTGTACTTCGTAGTGGCCGACCTTGTTAATCTCAACTACATGTACCAGTTCTCTCTGCACTGGTTCCACAAGGTATTTGTGGAGTCTATGAATGTTTCAAAGACAAATCAAACTCACAACTCTTTAATGTCATCTTCTGGCACCATCCGGCCACTGAGCCGGCAGAGGTCTATAGAGAAAGAAGCCACGGATGAGGAAAATATGGACATCAAAAGGCACCTTCACAATATCTGTGACACTCTTACCAGAAATGTTTACAAGGTAATCATGTGATTATTTGCAGTGTTTTTAAAGCCTCTTAAACTTGTTTAAGGTGTCCATCTCTGGAGAACTTATTCTTTGTGATTGGCTGTGTAACCCCTGAATATGAGAACCTAATCAAACTTAAAGGACAATATAATAGTTTTGGTAAATTTTTTATAAACTGATATGTTTTGAAACTGATGTTTTATATCCATGCATACAGCCGATTGTATGTATACTGAGTATGCTTTGCTTAACCTAGTAAGCTCGTGCAGGTTCTTGAAGTATCTGATTTGTCTAGCGTCATCTGTAGAAATGGTACTTGCCACATGGCAGCTAGAGGTACTGCTTCAGCCACACCTGCTCCACCAACTCAGCTGCAGTCGTTAAAAGTGTGTAAAAAAAAAAACAACAAAAACCCACAAGTGTGTCACATATGGCAATAAAAAAATTTTAGGCACTTCCTACCCAATACTGCACAATGGATACATTAGCGCCTGTTCAGATGTAGGAAAACAAGGCAGGGAATTGGTCTGCAAATTTGAGTAAGGCTGCTTTCACATTGATCCGTTTTTGTTCTGCTTTTACGTTAAAAACGCGAAAAGAAAAACATGTGACCAAGTATTCCTATAGAACTCTTCACACTGACCCGTTGCAGGAACGGTACGTTTTTTCAACCCTTTCCTGCCTGGCCTATAGTAAATTGACGGCCGGGCGGGTCTTTTGTCGATCCGGGTGAATGTCATACACAGCTGATGACTGATATGTGTACCGGCCCATTGCCAGTACCATGTGACATGATAATTGTAAACAATGGATGGCTTCCATTCATGCCATCCATTGTATACAATTGTGCTGCTAGCTGTGATTGGTCACAGTGATCACATGGTACAGACTGGGCAAATCACAGCCTATCTGTGTCATGTGATTAACTGTGGCAAATCACAACTAATCACAACAAAACAAACTGAATCGATTTCATTCAGTAAAATGCTTGTTTATAGCAATTAAATTCATTGCTATAAGCAATCTAATGTGTATAAAAAAAATGCTGATCCTTTCCCCAGAGCAGTACAATGTTGTTATGGTAACATTATATTACTGTGGTCAGTGTGCTATAAAAAAAAATCATAACAAAAGAAAACAAATGTATTAAAAAAATAAAATTATTTTTTTTTTGTACTGTCACCAGTCAGTGTCTATCATCACCGCCACACTAGTTTATATGATGACGCTGTAATGCACTGGTGACAATATGTTAAAAAAAAATGTGAAAAAATAAAAAGTAAAATGCTTATTGCAATGAAATTCATTGCTATAAGCAATCATAATGTGTAAGAAAAAAAAAAGGACTCCCCCAGAGTAGTATAATGTTAACATGGTAACATTATATTACTCTGGTCACAGTGTGTTACAAAAAAACATAAAGGAAAAAAAAAAATAACTGGTGACCGTATGTAAAAATATAAAAGTGTTTTTTTTTTTTAAATTTTTTCATTTTCCACAAAATTACGACAAAAAGTTACAACTTCAAAAGAGTCACCATGCCTCTTACTAAATACCTTAGACCATCTACTTCCAAAAAGGGGTAATTTGGGGGATATCTGTACCTTCCTGACATTTTTGGGCCTCAAGAAATTCGTCAGTACAGCAGGATTGATCGATTTTCAGATATATATAATAGTTTGTGAACTTTTTAACTTTCCTACAGACTAAATAATAAACACTAATTTGGGATATTTTCACCAAAGAAATGTAGCAGTATACATTTTGTCTGTATTTATGAAGAACAATTGTTTATTTGTAAAATTTTATAACAGAAAGAAAAAATTTTTTTTTCTAAATTTTCTGTCTTTTTTTGTTTATAGAAAAATTAAAACCCAGTGGTGATCAAATAGCATCAAAAGAAAGCTTTTGTTGTGTGAACAAAATGATATCAAATCAGTTTGGGTACAATGTTACATTACAATTGTCATTCAAAGTGCAACAGTGCTGAAAACTGAAAATTGGCCTGGGCAGGAAGGGGGTAAAAGTGCTTTGTATTGAAGTGGTTAAAAACCTGCTTGATTCATTTTTGGTGTAGAGTTGGTGCAGTAAAATAATTCCTGTTGAAATCAATGGACAACATGGCAAAAATGCAAGATTGTAAGCTCCAAGGAGCAGGGCCCTCCTAACCCACTTGTATTGAACTGTATCGTTGCTGTAATGTCTCCCTTTATATTGTAAAGCACTGAGCAAACTGTTGGCGCTATATAAATCCTGTATAATAATCAAAAACGCATCCATGATGCGTTTTTGATTAGTTTTTTGAGTCACATACCCTGTACAAAATGCACCACAAACATGGCAGATCAGTGTGAAAGTAGCCTAACAAAGTAAACTATGTAAAAAAGATTGCAAATATAAATGTGCTTAATACATTTTTAAAGGAATCAGAAATTTAGCAGTTGTAGCATTGAGAATTCTGAACCTTCTTTTTTTTTCCTGTAGATAGTGTCATCATCCCTCTTCACAGAACACAAGCTCTGCTTCTCCTTCTTGCTGGTGGTGAACATCATGAGGAATGGCAGTGAGGATCTTCCAGGTCCTCTGGGGTTCCTACAACATGCTGAGTGGAATTTCTTCCTAAACTCAGTGCTGCTGACCAACTTCACATACAGGAAAGAATCTGCAGGAGACAGCGGTACCAGAATCTAATATTTTTGTCTTTTTCACACATTTGCTACATCTTACATGTGCTTCCTGATGTTTTCTACCTAAGCCCTGGTTCACACTGATGCGGTGCCGAATTCACAGTGTTTTTAGTGCAAATTCCGCACCACATCAGAATCGCACCCCGTTCATGCGAACCACTGCGTGTGTGTATGTTAAGTCAACAACACCCCAAAAGCGGTCCCACAAAACACAGTGCGATGTGCAGAACTGGATCGCATAGGTGTGAATACCCATGCGATCCGATTCTAGTGTGGACCCAAAAAAGGGTCCTGCACGTTTTTGGTGCAGGTGCGGTGCGAATAGAGCCATACATGATGTATGGCTCCAATCACACTGCACACAAATCGCATGGGATTTGCACAGGAATGCAGTGCGGTTCCTGTGCGAATCACATTGCTATACACGACACTGTACATATGTGAACCCAGGCTGAAGGAAACAACTCCATGTTAACTGCATAAAGTGTATCTGTATTGAATACTTTTTTCAGTTTTGGATAGAGAAGGGAATGTATAAAACAACTGTCAGGTGTTCGTTGCTGTTTGTGTCTCATTGGGAAGATTTCTCTTCACTTCCTGTCCCAGAAATACTAAAAGAAATTAGAAAAAAAATCTGTGTAACATCAGCAGAAATAGCTTCTTTGACTGCTGTAACTAGAGTAGGTGTTCCCAGTAGAAGATTTATTTTCACCTCCTTTTATGAGGACAATTACAAATAGAGAAGGTGAACCTCCCTAGGCCACAATCTGGTACAGCCATTTAGTAATGCCCATTACCCATTGCGGGGTGCTCTGGTGAAAATCTGGTGGGTGTGCTTAGACTCTCAGCCCTTTTTTCAGGATCACACCCTCTCCAGTGTGTTTTATATCTAGGTTATCTGTGCAATGGAAGTCTCAGTGAAGGGGGCCTTTTGGATTCCCAAAGCACTTTGGTTCTTTCTTTTATCAAATGCAACAACAAATAAAGTTGATGTGGAAAAATACATCTTGACTGTCATTCTCTTCCTTTTCTTCTTCTATAACATGCAAAACTGGGCAAAGGTTCTAACCCTTTATTAATCTATCCAAAATGGAAAAAAGGTTTTAGCTCCACTCCAGTTCTTACAAAAGTACACTTTAATGTGTATTTAAAAGTTTTGTCTTTGAATATACTTTAAAATGTATGTAAATCCAAAAACAAAAATGTAATACATTGCAGCTAACCAGTCCTTAGATGTGGTGGCTGCATGTGTTTTTATTTTTCAGGTTTTACCTTTACCTGATGATCCTGAAATTAACACCCTTTATGCTCCTTCATGTCTACATTCATTTCTCCACTGTACCTATTGGAGTAGACTTGGCTGTCATGCAGACTAGTTCTTGAACATGCCTTCCTGGTATTTTACACAGTAGAGAAGATCCTTCATGCTTTCTTTCAGCTTACAGGAAATGTTAAGGACACAGCATTTCTAGCAAGATCAACAGGTATTTCCTGTACTTGCTGAAAATGTTTTAAGTTGAAAAGCGAAAACAAATGCAGCTACCACATATGAGAGCTGATAAGCTGCAATAAAATACATTTTTGGTTTTGGGTTTAGTTGCGCATATCACATGGCAAAAAAAAAAAAATCAATGCAACAAATGTTTTGTGACTCAAATACAAAGCACCAACCTGTCTGTGCTAAAATACCTACACCGATATAACATGGTTATGGAATGTGACCCATATGGACCAGGGTCTATAATAGTCACCTACCATAACCATGTTATATTGCAGTCTGTGCAGCTGCGCTTTATAGTGAAAGTGTACTGAATGTGTTTAACTGGAGATGGGAGAGAGTTCTACTGTTTATTGTAACATATACTATACCCAAAAAGACCCCGTCACCAAACCATTCATTTCAACAACAGCCTTCCCTTAAGAATACATTTTTGTGTTTAAAGTGTTACTAAAGTAATTTTTTTCTAAATTAAAATAACAAACATGTTATACTCACCTGCTCTGAGTCGTATTGCACAGAGTGACCCCGATCCTCCTCTTTTCAAGACCCACGCTGCTTATCTTGGCTCCTCCGCTTCTTTGTGTGTCCCCATAGCAAGCCGTTTGCTATCAGGCACACAGTGTCTTCGCATTCCCGAGCTGTGTGTCTATGGAGCCACGGTCCATCGACTTACACAGCAGGACTTGGCCCAGCCCCCCACTTGCTCCTCACTGTATTTGGTTGACAGCAGCCATGCACAGCACTGGATCTATTCTCCCCTTTCTTCCCCTTCACACAGGGAAGTGGGGGGGCAGAAAAATATAATTTTTTTTAACCTTAATGCAAGGAATGCATTAAGGTGAAAAAACGTTTTTAGCTTTAGTATCATTTTATGTATTTTAATCATGTTGTTTGCTTGTAAAAGCCTCCTTTGTGTGGACATCTAATAGCCCTGATGCTGCTGCTGTGTGCTGCCATCTTGGATGTCATGTCAGCAGCCCCAGCAGCCTCAGAGTTCTCACTCAAGTGACACTCCGTACTATTCCCTACCACTCTGCCTTAGGTGGCAGGGGAGCTGGACCAACAAAGACAGTAATTAGACACTCCTAGAAGAGGAGAGGGGGCTGTGCTAGGTCATTGGCACTTCCTGAAGTAGTCAAAGTTCAGAGGCACATTGTAGGTTAATAGAAAATCATTTAATGGAAAGGAAAAACACTGCAAATAAGAATTTATAATACTTTTTGTATTTTGTAAGTTGATGTCCTCATTCTTTCAGGTGAGTCTGCAGCACCTAACATCCCAAAGTGGCTCTCTGGCTCCACCTGGAGGCAGTGTGAGTATTTGACACACCACCTTGAGCCATTCTCTGCTCTCTCTGACTCTCTGCTATCCAGTGACCAGCAGTGGAGGGAGTTCTGCAACAGCAACAACTTGTATGAATTCCTCAAGAGCCCATACAGAGGAGAGGATCTCTCGTTACAAGAAGGTAAACCATATCGCACCAACCTGTTGGAGTATATACACAATTATAGCCAGTGTACTATGGTTATAAGCTGTCATATACAGTAAAATTCTGATTTGTCTTTACAAGCAATTCTTGTACCTGTCATGTACACGCTCTGTTATGGGATGTAGTTTGCAGAATTATGAATGAGCAACGAAATTAAGGGACAAGGAAAGAAACAAATATAACTAACAGGAAAGAGATGGGAACCATTGCACTCCCCCCATCCTCTAATACTTACCTAAGCCCCATCGCGATCCAGTGATATGCACAAGTGCCTTGGTTCTCCAGGGACTCTTCCTCCTCATTGGCTGAGACAGCTGTAGGAGCCATTTGATCCCACTACTGTCAATCACAGCCAGTGAGCCAATGAGGAGAGAGAGGGGGCAGAGGCGAACCACAGCTCTGTGTGTAAATAGACACACAGAGCCGTGGCTCAGGAGCATGCCTGCTTGGGTGCCCCCAGAGCAAGCTGCTATTGGTAGCACTCGGTAGCAGGGGGGGGCTAGGAGCGTTGGCGGGGGACCTAAGAGGAGGAGAATCGGGGCAGCTCTGTGCAATACCACTGCACAGAGCAGGTAAGTATAACGTGTGTTTGTTTTTTTTATATATTGCCTTTATTATCACTTTTAAGGTAAAAAAATGTTCAGTGTCAGCTCCCCCCCCCCTTCAAATACTTACCTGAGCCTGATCTCAATCAAGCGCTGTGCACATCTGCAGCAGCGCTGTTGTTCTCTCCTCTCGCTCACATGTGGTCTGGCAGCAGTGGGAGCCATTGGCTTCCGCTGCTGTCAATCAAATCCTATGTTTAGAGAGCAGGGGCAGGGCTAAGCCGCACTATGTGTGTCTATAGACACACAGTGTGGCTCGGGATCAAGCCCACACGAGTGCTCCCATAGCAAGCAGCTTCCTTTGCGGGAACTCAGAAGGCAGGAGCTGCCATGAGCACTGGTGGGGGAAAGCAGAAGAGGAGGATTGGGGCTGCTCTGTGCAAAACACTTGCAAAGAGCAGGTAAGTGTGACCTGTTTATTATTTTAGAAAAAAAAATAACACTTTAGAATCACTTTAATGATATTTACCATTTAACCTTTAGAAGTCCAGTACTGATCATTCACTGTGTTCATTCATGAAAGTGAAGGTAGTGATCATTAAAGAAACATTAGATCCTGAAGATACAATCTTCCCTCCGGTGTGCCACACACCTGTTACTGGGCCCTCCCTGCTGTACAAGTATAGTTTGGCAGAGTTGTATACAGCATTTTAGCTATTGATTAAAACTACTTTCTGGTGTGTTCAATAGGTACAACACAAATGTCAGACAGAGAAGTCACTGGGGACCTGGGAGAAGAACTTACAAATACTGGATTTCACTGGGAGAAGCTTTCTTCATTCCAGAAACTTATGCTGGTAAATAGGAAACTATCTATCATGTTAAATAACAAAATACCATATAGACCGCTCTTGGGCCATGCAAACAATAAACTTGGTAACAATAGGTTCTTTCACTTATCTATCATGTTAGTTCATTGTTATGTGTCCAGTAAATAAGTAGTCTTAAGGTGGAATGCCAGATAAAACTTTTTTTCTTTTGGACACAGTGCTGTAGAAGTAGAGCTTCTGCTGGATCTTTAGATCTGAGACTCTTAGATTAATTAAAACACTTGTCAAAATCTTTACTGAGTGCAATTGTTTATCATAGGATAACCTGGCGCTGAAGATGTTTCTTGCTGTTCCGTCCGCCTCAATCCTAAACATAAACATGTATGCCTGGAGCATCCAGACAGATTTTATGCACCAAGCTTGAGAGGAATGTTTCTGCCAATGGTTGGATTGTCTCTGTACATTGTACCTTTATCTGAGAGCTATATACTGACCTTTAGAAATTTGGGATACCGCAATAAAATTGTGCAATTTCATTTTCATTACATGTTGGTGCTATTTTGTTCAGCATATAGCTTCCAAATTGTCATATTGGGAAATGCAATTCCACAAGTACAATATAATATGGATGCATAAAGTAAAATTGTACTTTGTCAATTCACCACCAAGCAACAGATTACTTGAATCCCCCCTTCCCCTTGAGCACATACATACCTCTTTACCTCCCTAGATCAGGGTTTCTCAGCCAAGGTTTCTCCAGAGGTTGCTAGGGGTTCCTTGAGCAATGATCAATTTTTGCCTCTCAGGTAAGTTCCCACTTACATCATTGATCTTTTTAGCAATCTGTAAGGGGGGAATTCTTCACAATGACCACAAGTGTAAGGAGCATTCTTACCTCTCACTATCACACTGATTTATCATGAATTGTGGATAAAGTCATTTTAGCAGGGGTTCCCTGAGACCGGAAAATTATGTCAAGGGTTCCTCTGTGTTGAAAAGGTTGAGAAATGCTGCCCTAGATGTTCCATTCAGAATCAGTAGCTAAATGAAAAATCCTGATCCATAGGCAACCTATAGTCCTCCATAAGCTGTCACTCCTTCTACATTACCTACAGAGTTCACAATTGACTTGGTTGCTGAGCACAGCTCATTTTGGTAAAACTGTCCTATTGAGGTCCTTTGCTGTGCATGTGGCAAAACTAACATGCACAGCAGGACGTAGTCAAAATGCCTTCTAAGTGTCTGTCTTCACCTGCCCTACATCATAACATAAACTAAATTGGATCTGTATTTAGATCAAAATCCTCCGTCCAGAATGTTTAACCAGCGCCATCCAGGAGTTATCATTGAGAAAATGGGTAAAGAATATGCTCAGAGCAGTGCAATGAATCTGAAGCAAGCCCTAGAGGAAACCAGCAACGCTTCTCCACTTATCTTCATACTCTGTTCTGGTAAGGAGTTCATCTTTGATACAGTTATAATTCTCTTTAAATTAAAATGTATTATAAAAGCATTCAAGGCCGGGTTATTGAATTACAATTCATGGATGTCCCGATTAGTAAAATTTTACAGTAGAGGTCTGAATTGCATGCATGTGCGATCTTTCACATCACAGCCCCCCTCTCTCATATCACAATCCAGTTCTTGCTTTAGTGTCCTCGGAGTCCCCTGCATATCGCAATCACCACCCCACCCCAACCCCCCCATTTACATTATAGTCCCCCACTTCACATCACAGTTTCCCGTTCACAGCAGTGTCCCCAGCCCCCTTCACAATAGGGTTCTCAGATCCCCCTTCACAGCAGTGTCCCCAGCCCCCTTCACAATAGGGTTCTCAGATCCCCCTTCACAGCGGTGTCCCCAGCCCCCTTCACAATATGGTTCTCAGATCCCCCTTCACAGCAGTGTCCCCAGCCCCCTTCAGAATAGGGTTCTCAGATCCCCCTTAACATCACACCTCCTTCCACTCCATTCACAGCAGTGTCCCCAGCCCCCTTCACAATAGGGTTCTCAGATCCCCCTTCACAGCAGTCTCCCCAGCCCCCTTCACAATAGGGTTCTCAGATCCCCATTTCACAGCAGTGTCCCCAGCCCTACAGAGGTTCCCCTTTCACAATAGGATTCTCATTGATCCCCCCTTCATATCACCCCTCCTTCCACTAAATTCATCCTCCCTTCACAGCAGTGTCTCCAGCCCCCTTCACAATAGGGTTCTCAGATCCCCCTTCACATCACATGTGCCCCACAGCCCCTTCCCACTCCCTTTACAGCAGTGTCCCCCAGCCCCCTTCACAATAGGGTTCTCAGATCCCCCTTTACAGCAGTGTTCTCAGATCCCCCCAGCCCCCTTTCACAATAGGGTTCTCAGATCCCCCTTCCCATCACCCAGATCCCCCTTCACATCACACCTCTCATAATCCTTCCACTCCCTTCACAGCAGTGTCCCCCCCCCTTTCACAATAGGGTTCTAAGATCCCCTTCATATCACACCTCCTTCTACTCCCTTCACAGCAGTGTCCTCTACCCCCCTTCACATCACCCCCCACAGTAGTGTCATGTGCCTTCCTTTACATTGCCCTCTACAGCAGTGTCCTTTACCCCCCTTCACATCACCCCCACAGTAGTATCCTGTGCCCCCATTTGATCACCCCCACACACACAATACACAATAGGACCACCCTGAATCATACCTGAAACACCCTGAGTGTGATATTTGAACCTGACAGTGGCTTTTGACCTTTACCCTGACACTAACCTACATCAAGCCCTGATCTAGACATTTTATCTTCATTTTTATGATTATTATTATCTTTTTTTTGTGACGCTCTTCTCCTCTGACTAGGAGAAAAAGATTCAATGTACCTTTTTCTCCAATCAAAGAAGAAAGACAGTACAGAGATGGGTTTTATTGACTGATCACTGTGATAGCCAATCACAGGCTATCACAGCGAACCTGTGATCAGGAGCCGATGCCCCAGAAGACAAGGAGCTCTTGGTGACAGTTCAGTCTCTGCGTTGGGAACACGCTTCAAGCACACATGCCAAGCACATATATGCAGTGCCTGTGAAGAACGCACACTTCTGTGATTCTTCATATATGCGTGAGCTTGGTGGAGAAAGGAGTTAAAGATTCAGGTTCCAAAAATTTTCTGCTAATATGTCCCTACAAGCGAAGAGCTTTTATACTCACCTCTCTAGTGGTCTTTGTCTCCTGCTTCCCCTCCATTCTAATGCTGCAGTCTCCATAAAATTCTTTGGCATTCCACACTTCCTGGAGTGTCAGATGCCCCTGTTCCCCTCGGGGCACTGAGATACCATCCTCTGACCAATACATCACTACGGCCAAGACAGTAAATGTGCCCTTCATGTTAAAAATTGTCTTCACCACCATGTATTGTACAAATAATGTGAAAGTCTTTATTAAAAATAATGACACGTAAATAAAGCACCACAGTCACACATATACAAAAGAACAAGGACGGCCCAAAAACGTGTGAAATTTCATCTCCACCAGTCTGACACTGTAGTGTCTTTTACTTGGGAGGCACCATTTGTGCTACACGCAGTACTTTTTAGATTTATAGGGATATGGTATATCACTGATAGTAGCACTTTATCATTTTACTATTTCTTTCCCTTTGTCTCATTTGTTGGATATCACTCTTCTGTATGTATTAACTCAGGCATATCAGTACAGGAGTCTTATTGAATCCACTGCTGCTGGGTTATTTGGCTTACTTGTAAAAATCGCTATAAATGTAGCAAGTTAGTGATTGCATAGAAAAGAACTATAACTTCCTTAGCAAGAAGTAGCTTTAAAGAAATAAATAAATAAAGGGGATTGCAAATAAATTGTCCATTCTCTTGTAGAGAACTGCCAGCAGGTTTATAGTCAAAATAAACCCCAGAGACAAACTGTATTAGAGGGGTGTAAGCAGGAGGCCTTTTTTTCATTCTTTTTATTTTTTGTTGGCGACCCAAAAACAATCCAAGATCATTTTGTACTGTATAGAGCACAAAATTGTACATACACGATTATAAGGCATAGTAAGCGTAAGAGAATGAAGACTAGTAGGCAGCATCAAAGACAGAACACAAAGTACATCAAGGAGGATGGTTCCGAGAGATGATACGACATGCTAGGTTGCCAGCGGGATGAACAAACAAAAAGCACCACTAAAGAATGATAAGTGAGGCAGGGGAGAGGTAAGAAAGTGGAGGGGAAAAGAGGCTTTCTATGCTGCCGCCTGTGGGGGGGGTCTTCCATTTGAAATTGAAATTGGAGTCAACAGAAACGGGTCTTACAAAAGTGCTCTTCCTGGTGGTGCAACAATAAGATGAGGTCTTCCATTCTCTAGATCTCAATTACCGCATTTATCCATTGAATAATAGATTGGGTCAGAGGTGACTCAAGATTTTGCAGAAAAGAGTCTTTTCTGACTAAGAAAGGTAATACTTTAAAAATGTGTTTTTGATGCTGTGTACCCATTTAGGGGATATTTTTCCGCTTGTTAACTTTTTGGCATATGTCAGACAGAACAGGAAGTGAGATTAATTCTTAAGGCTCTAATAAAAAAAAACATTTTCTAGGATATCAAGGATAGAGTAGAACCTCTAGTAGGAGAATTACTTTTTTTGCTGTCTGTCTCCCAATGTGGGAGAATTCCCCCATTTCCTGTGCAGGTGACACATGACAGACAGAACAGAGAAATCACCTGAATGGGGACATAGACAGCAGTAAAAGCCGGACAGAGGGTATAACCCTTTCTTTTTTCCATCTAAAATAAAATCAGTTGGGCTTTATTAGGTTTGTAGCTACAGGGAAGCATCTAACTTTCACTTGATACATCATGATAACAGGTAGTGACCCAGTTGGTGACCTGGAGCGCCTAGCACTAGAGACCCGAGGGAGCACGCTGCACCTGGACATGATCTCTCTCTGGGCCGTGGTCAGGGGGGTGAAGGCAGAAGAGTTGATCAATAAATCCAAGAGGCTGAAAGGACATTGGGTGTTCCTGCAAAACTGCCACCTTGCCGCTTCCTTTATGCCCAGGCTGAGGGAAATTGTGGAGGGGTAAGTCTATTCTCTATTACAAGTGACACTATAGTATAGTCTGTGCTTTAAAAAAATGTACTTGTGTTACTTCTTATCAACTTAAAGTGGACCTGTCAGTAACTGTACATGTTTACATAAATAAACTCCTAATGTGTCACAACATATAGCAACAGTATCATGTTTCCGAAAAGCTCTGCCATTTATCAGTAAAAAGCCACTCTAGTGCTCCAGTGCAGTAACTTTGTCTATGCCGAGATTATGTCATCAGTCTGCTGCAGATAGTAGACAGTATTTCCTCAATCCCCTCTCACCAAGTCATCACTTAGGCTGTACACTATACCTTTAGCAAGTCACAAGGTTAGGGCTGATATTTGTCAGACATTTGTGAACACAGCCAAGAACTACACAGGCACCAGGATTTACAGAATTGTTTCATTTCTGAGCCAATCTCTCAGTCCAGGATGTAGATACTAATGATACCTTAAAAAAAGATGGCTCCATCCTTCTGGATGAAGATGAAGGCATTGTGAGGGGGAGTACCATGATCTCTGTGAGTGGTAATAAAAACCTAGAATATTATAATCATAAGAGTAATAAATAGAATAACATTTTACATTAACATTGTGCTAATGATTTTAGGACCGCTTCAAGTCCCTAGTGTATTGCATATGTACCTACATTTATTTAAAAAGCAAAATAAATGACTAGCTTCACTCCACTGAATTGTGGCTTTGTTTTTTACAGATTCGAGCAGCAAAGTCAGTCTATAGATCCCCAATTTAGACTGTGGCTGAGCTCCAAATCAGATCGGTTATTTCCAGTGTCCATCCTACAGAAGGGTTTCAAGGTGAGACTGTACTATTCATTAAACAGCCTGATGCCTCAGCATTAATACACTGCTGTTATAGTCGGTGTAGGAAGAATCAATGAACTTATTCAGATGTTTTTCTATCGGGGAGGAAACTGTAACACCCACAGAGAACCCACACAAGCCTAAGAGATCATTCAAACTCTATGCCAATACTGTACCTGTTGGAAAGTGATCCCATGCTCCCTGTTCTGCTAATACAGTGGTACTAGTCACCAGCCATGCACCATGTTCTGCAAATAAAGTGCTATTAGTCACCAATCCAGTATGTACCATTAATAATACAATTTCTTAATAAAGACATTTACCATATTTTTTTCTGTCTCTGTTGGCGGAATATGAGTATCAGGAAACTGAAGCAGCAGATTAACATCAAATTTTGCATGAAAATTGGTAAATGTGTGAGTGAAACTTTAGCTCCGTTACAACAGACATATGAAGAACATTCCATGAAGAAATCAAGTGTGTTTGAATGGCATAGGGGGTTTAAGGAGGGGTGGGAAAATGTCCACAATGATGCAAGATGTGAGCAGCCAAAAACACAAAGGACGAATACAAATGTGGACAGAGAATCTGTTTGGAGGAAAAGACTGGAACTCCAGCCTGACAAGTGGATTCTCTACCAGGACAATGCTCCTCAGCAGGGGATCAAATACTTATTTCCTTCACTGTACACTGTATATATGTGGCTGCTGTCCCCTTCAAAGTAGTATCCCTTGTGAGGTGACGCACTTTTCTAGATGACTGTGCCGGAAACATTCTTGGAATTCATTTTCTGGAACACTGTGCAGTATTTTTGTCATATTGCACAGTATGTACGAAATGTCGTCAAATCTGTGTCCTTTTAAGGCATTTCTTAATGTTTTCCCTTTGACCCCCCCATAGAGCACAATGGGCAGTCTTTGTGTCTGCTCTGCATAAGCATTGGACCTGACATCTGCCTGCTCTGTTCTGCTAATTTGTCCACTGATCCCCTGCTGTGCAAAGCGGAGTCTGCCCCATGTAAAAGGTGCCTTAAACAACATGATGATCACCTTTCATAGCCCAACAAGCAGGCAGGTGATGCAGGAATCTACAAAGCTACAGTAGTGAATAGTGGTGTCACCCTGCTAGCTATGCAGTGAGGCAGGAGAGTGAAAATTACAAGACTGGCTGAACAGTTTTACAACTATACTAACAGATTAAATTGTTCACATATATTTATTCCAACTGCACATTTAGCTGTTTTCCTGGAGCTTTGCTTTAATGTCCCTTCTGTTTTCTGGTAGATGGCGGTAGAGCCCCCTATGGGTTTGAAGGGGAAACTGCTGCAGACATTTGACACCAGTGGAATTGGACTGATACCGGAGAAGACGTTTGAGAAAGAGAACCATGGACAGTCCTGGAAGAAGCTGCTCTTCAGTCTGTGCCTCTTTCACTCTGTGTTAAATGAGAGGCGAAAATACGGGGCACTGGGCTGGAACATCCCTTATGAGTTCACTTCTTCTGACCTGGAGGTCTGTACTGGCTCCTTTTTATATACACATCATTTACAGTACCGTGGACTGTCTGAAGTAAGATGCAAGTGTTGCCCATATCAGCTAATCAGACACTGCTTGGGGGTCACATATTCGATTTCCATTCAAGTGACTATGTAGCTACAGTACAAATATTAAATAAAAGGCACCCTATAAAAGAACTTATTGCATACTTTCCTTTCCAGTGGATGGCAAGTGAAGTATTCACTGTCTTGAGCAGCTGCTGTTTCGTTTATAAGTTTTTATTTTGCTCTTTAGCAAAGCACATATTACAGTTAACAGGTAATAGCCTCCATAAACAAGGCATAGAAAACAGACATGCATCACAGTACAGTGAGAGTAAAAGAAAGTGAGTTCTCAACAAAAACAGGAATCTTTCCTTAGACTTCAAAACTGTCAAAAGACCAGCCATATACAAGTCCAACTATACAAGTGAAGCCCCCTTAAAGTCATTTTCCTGATAAACTCGCATACCAAATATATGGGTGGGGGGTCAATTAGCGCTTAAGACCAAAGACCACTTTTTCAAGTTTACTTGCATATATGGGATAGGGAACAAGCCTTACTTAAGGGGCCAAGCAGCTGCTGTTTGATACTTCTGCCCTCACTGGATGCTGACGTTTTTTCCCACCACCCAATGAAAAGGTAGGTAAGCACGATTCTTGGGTGAGAACCCTAGAAAAACACTTGTTAGTTTGTCTCCTGAGTTGCCGTCTTATGACTCTCTGTGGTGCCTCTTCTGGGGGGAATAGCCTGTGATCCAGCAGTTTAGGTCCATCTCCAACTGGTCCTGTCGTCGCCCCTCCATGACCTCATTATGCCATAGAAGTGTTCTAGAACCGGGGAAAACCCTGTTACTGGACATGCCAGTGAGAAATGTCCACCTCACCAGGCAGCAATGTGGGCACCTGAAGAAGGACCCTCGCACTCTACAGTGAGGAAGAGAGAAAACTTAGAGGTTGGCATATCATGTGACCCAGAACCAGAAGTAAAAAGGATTGTTTTTTTTTTTAATTAACCCATTAATTAGTTATAGGGGGTCAGGGTTGAAGGGTAGTGGGGGGTGAGTGGTTCCTAGAGATCAAAAATGTATTAAAATAGATGTTTTGATCACAATGGGCTTTAAACCTTCAGCATGTCTCCACCACTGTGATGTCAGCATTGTCATCTTGATTGGAGAGAGAATAGAGAGCACATGCAGTGTAACATCTTCTGATGAAGTAGGAGGTTGTCTTGTAGTAGCAAAAATCTGTCATGACCCTTCAGGAAGACAAAGCTACAAAATGATCTTGTCACATAAGAGTGGGTCAGGATAGCTGATACAGTTGTGTTCAAAATAATAGCAGTGTGTTGAAAAAAGTGAATAAAGCTCAAAATCCTTCTAATAGCTTTTATTTCCATACACACAAATGCATTGGGAACACGACACATTCTATTCCAAATCAAAACATGAGGAAAAATATATCAAATTTGTGTTGTTCCTCTAAAAAAAATTGAAGAAAAGTGAATATTAGACTGTTCAAAAAAATAGCAGTTTGTATTCTTCTTTACAAACTCAAACATTCACTATATAAACTGAAAAATGTTTGAAGATTTTGCTTTCCTTAGAATCACTTAATGAATATTTGGTTGTATAAGCACTGTTTCTGAGAACTGCTGTACATCTGTGTTGCATGGAGTCAACCAACTTCTGGCCCCTGTGAACAGGTATTCCAGCCCAGGATGATTGGACTACATTCCACAGTTCTTCTCTATTTCTTGGTTTTTGCCTCAGAAACTGCATTTTTGATGTCACCCCACAATTTTTCTATTGGATTAAGATCCGGGGATTGGGCTGGCCACTCCATAACGTCAATCTTGTTGGTCTGGAACCAAGATGTTGCACGTTTACTGGTGTGTTTGGGGTCGTTGTCTTGTTGGAACACCCATTTCAAGGGCATTTCCTCTTCAGCATAAGGCAGCATGACCTCTTCAAGTATTCTGATGTATTCAAACTGATCCATGATCCCTGGTATGCGATAAATAGGCCCAACACCGTAGTATGAGAAACATCCCCATATCATGATGCTTGCACCACCATGCTTCACTGTCTTCACAGTGTACTGTGGCTTGAATTCAGTGTTTGGGGGTCGTCTGACAAACTGTCTCCGGCCACTAGACCCAAAAAGAACAATCTTACTTTCATCAGTCCACAAAATGTTGCGCCATTTCTCTTTAGGCCAGTCAATGTGCTCTTTTGCAAATTGTAACCTCTTCAGCACACGTCTTTTTTTCAACAGTGGGACTTTGCGGGGGCTTCTTGCAGATAGCTTGGCTTCACATAGGCGTCTTCTAATTGTAACAGTACTCACAGGTAACTTTAGACCTTCTTTGATCTTCCTGGAGCTGATTGTTGGCTGAGTCCTTGCCATTTTGGCTATTCTTCTATCCATTTGAATGGTAGTTTTTTCACTTTCTTCCATGTCTTTCAGGTTTTGGTTGCCATTTTAAAGCATTTGCGATCATTTTACTGAGCAGCCTATCATTTTCTGCACTTCTTTATATGTTTTCCCCTCTCCAATCAACTTTTTAATCAAGGTACGCTGTTCTTCTGAACAATGTCTGGAACGACCCATTTTCCTCAGAATTTCAGAGAGAAATGCACTGTAACCAGCATGTACAACATTTGCTGCCTTCCTTCCTTCCTTAAATAAGGGCAATAATTGCCACCTGTTTTTCAAAGAATGAATGACCTCACTAATAGAACTCCACAGTGCTATTATTTTGAGCATGCCCCTTTCAATTAGTGATTCAATTACACAGAATCAGCAGCATGCATGTCGTGACTGTTGGGTCTGTTGGATTTCTATTACTCTACTACACCTGCTAGTAAATTATTTGCCATGTAGAAATATCATTTCTACCAAAAACAGTGATTGATCAGGTTAGTGATGTCTGACTGCTATTATTTTGAACACAACTGTATGTATACCAGGATCCCCGGGGGTAACACAGCTATTGCATTTTTTTGTAACACAACCTAAATGACAAGGACATCTGTTAATAGAAAGCTTTGTAATGTGTAATATAATACAGGCTGTGTTTGCAGGTCTCTATACAGGTGTTGGCAATACTCACGGAGGGCCACAATGAGATTCCCTGGAAGGCTGTCCATTACCTGACTGGGGAGGTGGTGTACGGAGGCCGTGTTACAGATCTTTGGGATCGCCGGTGTCTTCTCAGCATTCTGGACATTTTCTATAATCCAGCCGTGTTACAGGATGGTTATTCCTTCTCCGAGGACAAGGTGATCTCACAGTTCACAAAAGGCTGCATGGAATAGTCGTTTAAGTTCTCATTTATGCAGCTTGTGGTAGGACTAACTAGTTTGGATAAACAAATGTATGACTGCTCAGCCAGTGTTATGATCCAGGCACCCCTGATTAACAGCATAGTCAGGTCCTGGTCCTTCACTGCAGTAGCAGCACAGCTTGATCCAGGACCTTGGACAGTGAAGAAGTAGCAGCCTGCTAATAAATCATCACTGCTCAGTCCCCTCTGCCTGATTCCTATTTATTTATTTGTATAGCTGTGTACTGGATGCCTAAAATAGGGATGGTTGTGGAGAAAATGAGATTTGGGGCTTCGAAACAGAGAGAAAAAAGCTGGTGATGTGCCATAGAGAATCTGTGGTCTTGCAGAAAATATAAATAACACTATAATATAAAAAAATGTCTGACACATAGTAGGATGGTAAAGATAAATACTGTAAATAAAAAAGCAGAAAGGAAAAGCAGGGGGGATATATAATGAGATTACCAGGACAATTCATTGCTAAGAGGGAGTTGCCTGCAATAAACACCATTTTCTTAGTAACAAACTCACTTTGGAATAGAGATAAAGACGACCAGATTTGTGTGCATCTTAGCTGAGGTCTTGTGTGCTGCATACTATCATGGTGATGTAATTCTTCCCTCAGATTCTACTTCTTTTCTGCTGTCACAGCTCACCAGTAGGGGATGTAGCTCAGTGGTAGAGCGCATGCTTTGCATGTATGAGGCCCCGGGTTCAATCCCCGGCATCTCCACTTTATTATTTCTCAAAACATTTTTGTTTGTTGTAACCATTATATGAAGCATTTAATTTAAGGTACTTGAACAAAGATTTTTACTTATGGTTTAATGTACAGTAATACTTTATTATTGCAACTAAAATCTTTGCATTATTATAACATAATAATTATGGTTACAGATTTCTTGACATTTCTGCAATTTGCACATGTACAGATAGAAACAAATGTGTGGCCTATATGTTAGTCTGTATTTTAAAAACATATAAAAAAAAAAAAAAAAAAAAAATGAAGAGCATATACTGCCTTTGCATTGTAACAATTGGTCATCGATTAATTTCAAACCTTTTTTTGTTTTATGTTATGTTTATACTGTTTGCATGTTTTTAGACAATTTTCAATAAATATCTTGTGAACATGCTAGACATAAAATGCTATGCTTGTAATAGTAATAATAATAATAATAATAATAATAAAATTATTCAATTGATTACATAAATAAATAATAATAATAAGTAAAATGTCCTGCAAACATGTTGGACATAGAATGCTATGCTTGTAATAATAATAGTAGTAGTAATATTATTATTATTATTATTATTATTATTAATAATAATAATAATAATAATAATAATGATACAAATAATACCATTAATAATAAATAAAAGTAATCTGCTCCAGTTCAGGCCAAAATGTGCATACTGTAGATGTAAACCCTAATTGAAAGGCAGATTGATAAAGCACTGTGTGCCATGAACAATTACCATTTTTTAATAAAATATTTGTTTTCATCATTTGTTGCATCTTAGTGCTGCTGATCTAATGCAGCCTCTTTGCAGAGACCTTCTGTTTACATGCACTCCAAGTTGGTGGCTCATTGGCATTTCTCATTGAGGGTTTCCTGATGGTGACGATAATTGCCCATGCCTGTGTATTGTATTGAAATGGCCACTTGTAGTCCATTTAAAGCCCGTGTGACAGGGTACAAATGCAGGGGCCTGATTAGGGACAGAGCATTGACACTCCTAAACAGGAAATACCTGAACAAGGACCTTTATGGCAGGATCACTAGGGATTATTTTAATGAAAGCTGCAGATTTAAAAATATTGAAATTGACATTTGAAATTACATTATACGTTAAAACTAATACAAGATTGTAGTGATTGGGTTTACATATACTTTAATAGACATGTCTGTTTCTAGGTATACCAGACCATAACGGATAATGTCACACTATGGGAATGCCGAGATTATATCAGCTCCCTTCCGGACACAGACACCCCTCAGATCTTCGGGATGCACCCTGATGCAGACAGAGCGTTCCTCACTTCTCAGGCACAGCTCTTCACAGACACCATTGTCAGTATGCAGCCAAGAATCAGCGCAGAATATGAAACAGTCAGGTTTGTGTTCACTAAATGCCGACTAGTATAATACATGAGGCTATTCTATAAATGGGAAACATCTGATAAAATAGAGAGGGATCATATTGCAGTAAGTCCCCACAATGAAAGAAACAAAAGGCCAGCACTGGAATCATCTAAGTAATTGCTTTGGTAAAGGAGGAGGTTAAGGAACTCCTTTGTTCTGCCAAGGCTCATTAATGCAAGTGGGAAGAGAAAGCTGGCCCATGTAGTCCGATCCAGTAGAACAGCTGCTGTAGCTCAAATTGCTGAAAAAGTTAATGCTGTTTGTGATAGTTGTCAGAACACACAGTGCAGCACAGTTTGTTGTGTATGGGGCTGCATAGCCGCAGACCGGTCAGGGTACCCATCAGGGCTACTGTCAGAAACTACAGGGCCCCATACAGTCAACCTGATAGCCCCCCTTCCCCCGTAAAAAAAAGACAGTTTACTATGCTAAAGTTATGAATGAACACAGTAAGTGATCGATACCAATCATTCATTGTGTTCATTCATGAAAGGAAGGGATTGGTAAATGTGACATATTCATCTCCATCCTAAAGGATCTTATTGTGTGCTTGCAGCTGCTGGTGGGAGGGAAAGGAGGGAAGCCAGCAGCACTGTGGGGGCACACTGGAGGGCCTCCACAGCAGGGGGAAATGTATGGTGCACAGGGAGGGTGTTGGGTGTGGTCAGGGGGGGCAATTACTGGAACCAATCCCTTGTATGCCTCTGTACAGCAGCTGAATGCAAGCAGGAGGGAGAAGAGAAGAAGCCAGCGTTCAGCTACTGCAGAAAGAGCCATGTAGGGTATCGGTTCCAGTAATTGCCCCCTAACCCCCCCCCCCCCCCTCTCCCACCATGCTGATCACCCTCCCTGCCCACATCCAATTCACCCAGCTGCCTGGGCTCTGTACAGGAGGACTGGTGGTACCCCATATCCATGGCCCTGGTACCCATGCTGACACGTATCCACAGCTAAAAGCACCTACAATGGGCATGTGAGCATCAGAACTGAACGACAGAGCAATGGAAGAAGATGGCTTGGTCTGAAAAATCACATTTTCTTTTACATCATGTGGACGGTGTGGTGCATGTGTGTCGCTTTCCTGGGAAAGAGGTGGCACCAGGATGGGAAGAATGGAGGCCGGCAGAGGCAGGTAACATAGCATAACTTCAGAGGTCTAGTGGAGTCCATGACTTGGTAGGTCAAAGTTGTTTTGGTGGCAAAAGTGAGACCTACTCAATATATTTTTGGTGGGTGGACATAATGTTATGACTGATCAGTGCATTTGTTAATCATGGAGTTCAGCTTAAAGCATATGGGCACTGGTGTCATTTTGAGTTTATATATCTGCTGTGTAAATTTGGTATCAGCTGGTTAATAGTGTGCACTGTCCAGCAGAGGTGACAGCATCCGCGATGAGATGGTTGTGCATTTGGCCACCAGCATCCTCAGCAAGCTGCCAGTGACAGTGGAAGGAAGGATGGAACAGGACAAGTCAGCAGCTATATCGGACAAAGCCACGACTGTCAGCAGCTTACTCTCTGATCCTGCTTGGGAAAGTTTTGTGAAATCAGTGGAAGGTATGATATGTAACTTCAATCCCTTTCACTTAAAACAAACTGGTGCATTGCCATGTTGGGCTCAGATGATTGCCTCTCCTGTCTCCCCAGCAGCATATACTAGAGGTTTAAAGGGGAAAGCATAATGTATTTTCAGTGAGTCAGGTCTGTAACTAAAAGTCATTTTTTATGTAAATTTTACATTTTCACAGATTTACAAGTTTTAGTGATTATCTGGATATAAGAGAATGTGACAAGAACCATTGCTGATTGATATAAATCTATTTAGCTTTTTAGATGGTTCATTGTTTGTAGTCAGACTTGCAGTGAGACAGATAGGAGCAGTAAAGTACAGTCAATGTGCAGCATTACCAAGCAGAAACCTAGAGCCTCTGTATGTAATGGGTAAATCTCTGAATAGACAAGTCTGTGTAGTGATAAAAAACGTTGATGCGTACTAACCAATCGGATTTTCAGATCATTAAACGATTATATTTTTAATTGGTTGTTTAGATTCCTCTAGTGCACTTTGCTCTTTGCAACACTGAATCAGATGAATGTCAGGATTGTTCAACATTTGTGTCTCTGTGGTTTATTGCCCTAGGCCAGGTGGCAACCCCGCGGTCCAAACTTTTTTCAAAGAGGGCCAGATTGGATGAAGTGAACATAGGGTGGAGGGCCGAACATTTTTTTTCGAACATTTTTTTGAACCATTACAATTAAATGCAAATAAATTATTTTATGCCAAGTTAATTGCAAACGACATACTTTTCATTTCATAACATTAAGATCAACTGACAGCTGAGTTTTCACAATGTATTGAATAATAAATTTACTAAAAAAACTTACCTGCACTAATGTAAGGGGGGTGAAAAGGTAGCTGGAGCTGAAGTCTCTGCTCAGCAGCTATGGGAGGGGAAGAGAAACACACTTCACGCTGGGAAGCCTATCATGCCCTGACGTACACCGCCCTCTGTCGCTCCCAGCGCGGCGCAGTCACGCATGCGCACTGCTCTCAAGCAGAAGACTGTCTGCCACAGAAGGGATGAATTGCAACAATATGGGGGCCGTGATGACAGCCGCATTTACACAGACCATGGGGGGAGAACGCGCAGGGAGTCAGGCATGCGCACTGCCCTCTGCTCTCAAGCAGAAGACTGTCTGCCATAGAAGGGAGGGCGTGGGTGGGAGGGCCACATTACACAGAGCAGGAGGGCTGATTTGGAGGGCCGTATTAAACCGACCCCCGGCAATATATGCAGTGCCGTAAATGGCCCGCGGGCCGGACTTTGGACATGACCCTGCCCTAGGCTGTATGTCTTAATTAAAAGAAACCAGTCATGATAGAACTAGGTGGGATGCCATGACGTAATCTCTACTTCTGAACACCATTGTAGCAAAATAAAGATTAAACTTTCATTTTCCACCACCATGTGAGCAGAGCTTTACCCATTTTTTGAACTTCCTCTTATAATAATCCCCATCGACAGTGCAGTGCAAATCACATTTTCTTTTACATCATATGGATGGCTGGTGTGTGTGTGTGTTTTTTTTTTTTTTTTCCATTTTCTAATACCTTTTTTTTAAATGTAGTTTGTTAGCACTTCCTGCCCCTGCTGCCTAGGCGATTACATCATCAGGTGATCCCCTCAGACTCCTGGGATATCAGCGTCAACTACCCCAGGAGTTTTCGGGTAGCCTAATAGTATAATCACACGGTATTTGCAGACAGGAAATGACTCCTTCTGGGTACTTTGTTGTGAACAGGTTGCTATAACAACATGGCGGGAACTTTCACCGCCATTGCTATAGCAACCTGTTGGCAACACTGTCTGCCAGGCACTATCATGCACAAGATTGGGAGGTGCTTACTGGAGTCGGCTTCAGCTGCCCTCACCTATGATGGTCACCACCAGCATTTAATCAGGGGCATGCAAACTGTAGATTTGGCAAGTAAGCGCTTCATGTACAATCATGACATTATCCAAATTTGAAAAAGCCTTTTTGAGGAACATGGGGATGTTTTTATTGCATTTTTCATTAGGAGAGTGTAGCTCCTCCTTGACAACAACAACAACACGGGTTAAATACCCAGCCTCAGTAGTCATCATAGGGGATTGGTGACTGGTCAGGGTGGGTATTTAAACCCTGTTGTTGTGATGTTCACCTGTCACTGCTGCTTGAAACATTACATACATTACGTGGCGGCGAATAAACGGTTCATCTTCATTTGTAACAGGAGTGTGCTGGTGATCATTATTCTGATTTTTGACTATATTTATGAGTTCACCTCAGCAACCACCTTCATGAATGGTTTATGGCTGAAAGGGATTGCAGATTCTTGATCTCTCCTTCTGGCTTTAATGCTGTCCCTTTGGCTTCAATACTTTGAGTCACTTACCCAGAACTAGAAATTAGAGGCTCACTGTATGTGGCAGGAATGATCCTTTCTGGAGGAGGTCAGCAGTGGCAGTTCCCCTGTTTCTGTTATATCTGCTATACTTGAATTCACCTTTCTGTGTCAGCATGCCAATATAAGTAGCAATATTGCCATCTGCTGGCCAATGTACAGCACAGCTAGCCAGCTGTTAGTGAAGTAGAAAATAGAAAGTTTGTGTACTCTGTCGTCTGAACACTTACCTGCACCTTGATTATCTACTACATTTGTATCGAGGGGCGGACTGACAACTCATGGGGCCCCCGGGCCATAGGGGATCATGGGGCCCCTGTGTCCTTGCCCAAACTCAAAAAAGCCTATGAAAAAGGTACCAGGGGCATCTCATGGGGCCCCCTACTGACCCCGGGCCCTCGGGCAGTGCCCGAGTTTCCAAATGGTCAGTCCGCCCCTGTTTGTATCATTCCTCTTTCACTATTCCCTGAAGAGACGGTCTCAGCAAACAGACAAATAGGCTTCTATTTATCTCTTGTTACATTTTCCACCTGCTTATGCTAGAAATGAAAGAGTTGTATGTGGCTCAGAACTCTTAGTGTAGGTTTTACAGCTTCGATCTCTTGGTGTGTTGAATTTTGGCTCCAACATGTATGTGAAGAGGTTAAAAGAGATGTATGGGGTATATTAAAAAAAAAAGAAATATATGCTCATCTCTGTGCTGCAGAATTGGTCTGATACTGCAGCTGTCCCAGCCCAAGAACTGAGCAATCCCATGACTACTGGTCGCTCAGTTCTCAGTCTGATCAGTGACCGTCAGCGCTTTCCGCTCTGCCCTCCAGCACTCACTGAAGTGCTTGGCTGAAGAGGCATGGATACAGCTGGCTATGGTTCTTGGCCACACCCTGAGAGCTGAGGTCAGTTGCCAATCGGGCAGCTGGGTGGATCCCAACAACAATATGGGGATCCTTCCAGAGCCTGGAACATTTCTGTCTCGTCAACTGACAACAGTTGCTTCATAGACATTGCGCAGATTTTCTTTTTTTTTTTTTTTTGGCCTTCTTTATTTACAAAATATTTTTTCCATTCTTTTTTAGCAATCAATAAAAAACAAAAGAGGTCACATATCAGAGAAAAAAACAAATATAACAAAAATGGCACAGCAGCAAAAAAAAGCCTTATATCGGTGCAAATGGAATCCGGATGTAACAGCAAACAGAATTAGGCCGTGGGGCACAGGTTCACCATAAGGATAGGAGTTAGGTTTAGGGATTGGGTTGAGGGTTAGGCCCCTTTCACACAGGAATCTGTCAGTTTTTTCAGGCAGACCTGATTGGATGGTCCATGTATCTCTATGGACCGGCAGGTGTTAATGGACTTGTGTGCGTTTACACATATCTACCTCCAATCTGATCCATTCCTCTCTATCTAGGCAGATTGAATCAGAGGGCAGTTGAGTGTAAACAGACAGCAGAGTGTGTTTACACCTGATAGCCCATAGAGTGGAACAGGCTGTGTCCATGTCTGCTCTGCATAAACTGAGCAGACACAGACCTGTCATCCACCCGCTCTGCTCTGATCAGCAGACAGATCCCCTGCTGAGAAAGCAAATTCTGCCCTGTGTGAAAGGGGCTTTCGAATTTTAGATTTGACACTGTGTATTGAAGCATATCAGAGTTAGGGGTTCAATTGAGGTTTTAGGGTAAATTACTTGTTTTTTATTTTTAAGATTTTATTGCTGTTCCAAAACATCAATCTACTTGCAAAACATTAACTTTTTACATTCATTCATTTGCAGTGATGGGCCTTCTGTGGTATTCAGAAACCAAAATGCAGCCCAGAGTGTGACACTCCAAAAAGTCCATACTCCTGTATCATTATATTAGTATATTACCTGGAACATCCTAAACTGACAACAAAATACAAAAACATTGAGTAAATCATGAAAACTTTATTTTTCCTGTAAAACCAGTTTGGGTTTGTGTTTGCAGGTTATGACCCCCTGGTGAATTCAGCTCTGTTGACTGTCCTGCATCAGGAGATTGATCGGTTTAATCATCTCCTGTCAATCATACACAGCTCACTCAATGCTCTGCAGCAGGCTGTGCGAGGAGAGATTATACTGAATAAGGTCCTGGAGGAGCAGCTCTATAACTCCCTGGGCAACCTCAAGGTGCCTGAGCTGTGGCAGGTAAGTGCTAGCAGATTCATCAAGCTTTGTTGTTACAATGGGAAAGCTCTCTGTTACAGAGGTTTTAAATATAAAAAAGAGCAAAGAGGAAGGGTAAATGGGACTTTAAAAGTGCCAGTTACATCCCCTCCAGGAAGAAACACACTAAAGACAATTATAAAATCATCAATGTTTATTAAAGAGTCATATTAAAAGGAACAGGGTCAGGGGTGGACTGACAACTCATGGGGCCCCCGGGCAATAGGGGATCATGGGGCCCCTGTGTCCTTGCCCAAACTCAAAAAAGCCTATGAAAAAGGTACCAGGGGCATCTCATGGGGCCCCCTACTGACCCCGGGCCATCGGGCAGTGCCCGAGTTTTCAAATGGTCAGTCCACCCCTTATCAGGGTATAAACCCCATAAAAACAAGTGCGCTAGGTGTTTAAGCATAGATAATAGGCACAGAAACCCCATACACCTTCCCTAGATTGCATAATGTTGCACATAACATAGTATGTAAGATACAAGACTATATACACTCTGATATAACAAAACAAAGGGAAAGGTGCAAAACTGACACATTTTGCAGAATGAGTTTCTTCAGGGGTCATGGGGTGCAGCTGATGACAAAAAGAATAAAAAAGTACATCATAGCATATGTACATATGAATATAAGGTCAATAATGGCCCCATGTGAGACCAGTTTATAGAAATATTCACATTACTTAGACAGATAATATTCCTAGGTAAACATGTTACATGTGCTAGTGGGGACCCCAATAATAAACGGCTGTGGAGGAGGAAAGGCTAAGCTAATGGAAAACAACATCCAGTAGTTTAAGTCAGGGAACCTGGGGGCACCATATCAGGGAAAGGAAGAGGCATCAACCGTCCAACCCTTTACATGGCAGATCTATCATGAGAATATAGGCATACATGTAGATGATGTAATCTAGGGAAGGTGTATGGGGTTGCTGTGCCTATTATCTACATGTAAACATCTAGCGCACTTGTTTTTATGGGGTTTAGTCCCTTTCCTTTTAATATGACTCTTTAATAAACATTGATGATTTTATAATTGTCTTTAGTGTGTTTTTTCCTGAGAGTGAAGTAACTGGCACCGTTTACCCTTCCCTCTTTGCTTTTGTTATATTTGCCTTTCTTTGTTATGTAATGCTAAAGGTTCATTTGTACCCACTATATTTTGAAAGCATTTTTAAAGCATGTTTGGGTAAAAGAAAAAATATTCAGTACAGTGGTGCAACATATGTATAGTTTCCAATGTTTTGTCCAATATTTGCTTCACGTACAGAAAAAAATGGTCCTGCCAAAAATCCAATGATCTTCTCACTTCCTATAGCAAGCTGACAATGCTGACTCCGCTCCTGTGAAATGTTGTCAACCCTGCCGACTGGACCACAGAACTCCACCTAGCCCTGTCTCTCTTGGTTCCTCTCTACATGAATATACTGGTTTCTATTCCAGCAAATTAGTGCTGATACCTTTTCTCCCAAGATGTGTATGGAAAGGGCTTGGGAGATGTAGTTATAGGCGTGTACCAGCAGCACCCCCTTCAAGAATGTTGCAAAGATGGTGATGTCAAAGGGTGTAATAAAAGTGGTTGCCCCCTTCATGAACAGTAAAGGAAGAACATAATTCTGGCACATGCTGTAGAGGGAGGCTTAGGGGTAAATTTGTGTCATGCCTATACATAACCCATTGAAGTGTCAGTATTAACGTATGCCCTCAGTAGCTGATGATAAAGATACACATAGACAGGAGGGAACTACACCCCAAGGGAAATGGTGTTAAGGGATCTCTGGTCCAATGGTGAAACCACACCAATCAGCTTGTTTCTAAACCGATAACCGATTCTGAATAGCTTAGTATGTCTATTACACGTATGGGATGGTAAGGGATAAGGGGAGCTTTTTAAACGTGATTATATTTCAACATCCATTTTAATGTAAGAACTAACGTGTATTATATATTGTGTTTCAGCGGTGCTCATACGAATCTTGTAAGCTACTTGGCTCCTGGGTAGATGATCTTGTAGAAAGAATTGGGTTTTTCTCCACTTGGGCCAGTCACGTGTATCAATGTATACAGGAGAGGTGAGAATTTGCATACAGCTGCCCCCAAATCCTATGATGAATGTCATCTAATACTGAAATAATTTGTCCTGTGTTATATGTAGGTTTGGTCAGCAGCTGGGGCTGAAAAAGACATTCAAACATTCCAGACCAAATTCATCCCAAATTTCTGACACTCTTTTGGAGAACAGGTCACACCCCACAGGGGAGCCGTACAATTACTGGATTCCTGCTTTCTTCTTCCCTCAAGGTAGACAAGTGATTGAATCCACTGATGTGGCCGATATTTAATTAGAAAGTATTATCGTTTTCTCTTTTCTACTGGCTCATTGCACCATGTTGTACAATGTGTTCTTGGTAAAGGCAGAATACTTTGTTACTTAATCCATTGGTATATTGTTTTCTTAATAAAGCATTAATCCCTATGAAATATAAAAAAAATACCCAATGGGTGGCTCAAGTTATTAAACTCCCTCTATCGATCAACCATCACTTGCAGGTCGATTGACCCATTAAAAGGTTATAACATTTATTTTACAAAGATTAAAGTGGAACTCTACAAGTTCCTAGAAATAGCATGTTTATATATCGCAACATCATTATTCCCATTTTTGTGCTCACTGGGTTAGATTGTTACACTCAGAATCTGGTGCACCTTTGTCTGGTAGCCAATCAGCTTCTAACCTCAGCTTTTTCAATTACCTGTGGCAATAAAACCTGGAGGCGGATTTGTTTCTATGCAGAAGTGAGCTTGATTTTGCGCTTTCTTGCTTTAGTAAATAAACCCCCACTGTGCTTTATTTTCCTCAGGGTTCCTGACAGCTGTTTTACAAAATTATGCCCGAAAAAGAGGTCTATCAGTGGACTCACTCACCTTTAAAAACAACAAGTGGAGCCTGTTGTGACAGTCCCCAGTCACACTACAAACAGAATTGCCAGCATCGCTGAAATGGCTTTTAATGTAAGTAGACTTTAGACTGATGTGATTTCTTGCATGTACCCTCTTCCTGTCTGCTGTGGAGGAATGTGATGCTGTTCTCTATTAGCTCTTAATACAGTTCTAACCTATGTTCCCATATCCAAAAAGCATATGCCCTCTGAGATTAACCATTGCCTAGATCTAGAGATATATATAGATTTTTTTTTTTGCCTTTCCCTACACATGCCGCCAATCACCAGGTCCCAGCTGGTGATTACTCGCTGGCATCCAGTGATTGCTGAGCATCTCCAATAGAGACATCTGTTTGTAAACAAAACAGCAGTGTGCGTACAGTGCTTAGAGTGAAGCAGACTGACACAGGAAAACAGCACAGGTAGCCATTTGATTGCCCCTCATATTAACTCCTTCCTTTCCAGTGCCATTAGTAGTGTCCGTGATTTGATTTTTTTTTTTTTTTTTTTAGTACTGATCACTGTATTGGTGTCACTGGGGATGTCACCCACCGCCATCAATCACTGATTGCCACCATTACTTTTTTTAATAGTGCAAAAAATAAAAAACGCACAGGTGATCATATACCACCAAAAGAAAACTCAATTTGAGGGGGGGGGGGGGGGAAAAAAAAAAAAAGATGTAAATTTAATTTGGGTGCAGCATTGCATGACCACATAAAAGGACCACATAAAATTGCCTGGTCAGGAAGGGGGGGTATAAATCCTCTGGAGGGCAAATGGTTAGATCCATCTGTAGGGCTAAAGAAAATGATATCCTGAACTGGGGTGTTGGTATTGTCCTCATTTTACTATTCAGTTATACAATGTGGCATGTTATTCAAAGAAGTAAATATGTGGAATACTTTTTTTTTTTTCCTTTAACATGTCAAGATCATTCACATTAAAGAATAAACTCAACTTTTGTAACATGTTATTGTTGCAGTATCCCCCTCCCTGAGTTGTGAGAGCGAGCAGAGATCTTCTCCCCACACCCGCTGTCACAATTTTTTAAAAAGCGCAGCCATGTGGGGCTCTGCCCACCCATCTAGGTCATTCATACAAAGCATTCCGTGAGCCTGGGTTCACACTGATGCGGTGCAAATTCTGCACCGCATCACAATCGCACCCAGTTCATGCAAACCGCTGCGGGTGTGTACGTTAACACCCCGAAATCGGTTTGCAAAATGCGGTGGGATGTGCAGAATCAGATTGCATGGGTGTGAATACCAATGGGATCCGATTCTAGTGCGGACCAAAAAAAAAAAAAAAAAAAAAAAAAAAAGGGGTCCTGCACCTTTTTGGTGCAGATGCAGTACAATTTGAGCCATACAAAATGTATGGCTCCAATCGCACTGCACACAATTCTCATGCGATTTGCACAGGAATGCAGTGGGGTTCCTGTGTGAATCACATGCAATATGCCGCATCGCACCAGTGTGAACACGGGCTGAATGTGAGAACTACAAGCACCAACAGACTTAGTCCACTGACCACTATAAGCTGGCAGTGACAACCAGGACTCTGCTGAGCAATCTAGGTCAGGGGTGGGCAACTGTGGCACTCCAGCTGTTGTAGAACTACAAGTCCCATGAGGCATTGCAAAACTGAGTTACAAGCATGACTCCCAAAGGCAGAGGCATGATGGGACTTGTAGTTCATCAACAGCTGGAGGGCCACAGTTGCCCACCTCTGCTCTAGGTAGTTCATTGATGCTTCCTGTCATTGTATAACTGCCTGCATGTAGGAGCAGACATACGACAGTCTGCAGGAGCCCTGCATTGAACTCACGAGCTTCTGCAATGCTTTGCAGGCTACCAGTACAAAAAAAAAAAAAAGTATTTAACAACTTGCCTACCGGGCACTTATACCCCCTTCATGCCCAGGCCAATTTTCAGCTTGCAGCGCTGTCGCACTTTGAATGAAAATTGCACGGTCATGCAACACTGTACCCATATGAAATGTGTATATTTTTCACACACAGAGCTTTCTTTTGGTGGTATTTAACGCCTTGGCGCCAGCTCCTCCCAGCCCTTTAAGGGTTTCAGATGGTGGGGTTTTAGGGTCATGTGACCACCGTGATTCGCTGTCACGGTGGTCACATGATCAGGAAAGGTCCCAATCACAAGATCTGGACCTTTCCGTGAGTACCGAACATGTGTGCTGGGAGCGCGCAGGGTGTGCGCTCTCAGCACGTTTTCCTTAATTGCACACAAAAGTGCAGATACTCGGTGTCAAGGCCCAGACGCCGGGAGGCCCACAGTTGTGTGCGGCCAGCGCCAAGAGGTTAATCACCACTGGGTTTTTTTTATTTTTTGCAGTATAAGCAAAAATTAAAAAATGAGCAAAACTTTTTTTTTGTTTTTTCTTTGTTTCCAATTTGACCACATATGCACTTTAAAGCCTAACACCATGTTTTGTCTTCATACACAATAGAGGAAACCTTGTATTGATTCAGAAAATACACACCTGGCAATGGCTGAGCAGTACTCAGCCCAACTCTGATTGGCTGAGGTGGGCAGATGACATCACAGTCTCAGGGTTTAGGAGTGCGTATCACACAGGGCACAGGCCAATGTACAGCCACACAGCTGTGAACACTGCTTGAATGTCTTAAGTCAGAAATTGCTCCATACTTGCAGAGGCTCCATCTCCAGCCCAGCAGTCCAAGTTATCAGGACAGGCTAGGGATCAAGCATGTGACATGCAGCATCTCCATGACACAGATTATTTCTACATCCTCCAAGATAGCAAGTGCACTTGGGGAACTGACCGATTCTCTACCTGAAAGTTCTGCCAGCACAAAGAACATTTTGAGACATGTGGTTCTCTGGCCTGGAGTGCCTTGGCTCTGTATGGGAGGTACTGCCTGCACAAAGCCAGGATACATTATCCCCCAGCATAGGACCAACTGCTAGGAGGTTCTGAGCACACTGCACTTTTTTTTTTTTTCCTTGCCCAAATAAAGGTTTGAATGTGACACCCACCACCTAATAAAGACAAGCTCCCAATGCTGGTCTCAGAAGGCCTACTAAATAAATTAAGAGAAAGGGCAAGTGCAGAGGCAGCAACCAAAAAAAAAGTGGGGCATGCTGGTTATACCTTAGTAGTTACACCTGCAGTGTGCAGTCCTTCTGTAGGAGCAAATATTATCCCAAAGGAGTCAGATTGTGTGTCCCTCTAGAGGACAAGAAAGAGCTCAATAGTGAAACATTTTTCCAGGTCCCTCTGGAGAGGCCTGCCAATCCTAAATGCTGCAGCACCATATGACGCTTCAGCATTCTATAACTATAGGTCTGGAAGGTGGAACCTTACTGCGCTGGGCTCACAGGAAGAGGTATGAATGACACCTGCTATCATTCAACCCAAAGGACCAACACTGGATCAGTAAGCAGGTGTCAGTGGGGGACAACACCGCAGAGGAGGTGAGTATAACAGCCAGAGCTGCTTTTTATTATGGGCTGCTGGATGAACTAATGGAAGATTGTTTTCCTAAACTGGGTTTTAAGCATCAACACCCTAATCCCCACTGTACAATCTGTGCTTTCTGCAGGGCTTACCTCCACCTGAACAAGGAGTTCTGGTTTTCGGCCTCTTCCTGGACAGTGCTCGGTGGTGCCATGATACACAGGTCTTAGAGGAGTGTGAACACCAGCAAAGATTTTACCCATTACCACAAATCCATTTCATCCCACACATGGTAAGTAGGACTGTGCAGTATTCTGTGTGTAATGTCAACACTGCATTATCTGTCCTTATGGTACCTTAATAAGGCTCCATGCACACTGGACATTAATAATGCTGCTAACATTAGCTGTGTAAAGTCACATTAAAAACATGAGGTTTTTCATCTTTTTTTGTATTAGTGTTTAGCGGCTTTTTTTTTTTTTTTTTTATACAAAAAAAAAAAAAGTCCAGAAATGCTGGTTTGCTGTGATTTTACCACATTTTTTTCAGCAGTTTTTACAGCTAAAAAACTCTTCTAGAAACCCACTCGTTATGGGGGGGGGCTTTTCTCCAGCCAAAAAAAAAATGTTGATTACAATCTGTGTGCATGAACACATAGGATAACATGCTGGGGGGTTTACTAGCTGTAGGGAAAAAAAAAAAAAAAAAAAAGTCAAAAGCCAAAAACAGCCCCTGTAAAAACGTCTAGAGTGCATGAGGACTAAATATTAGTATTGATTTAGGTTTTTTTTTTTTTTCAATATACAGATTGAACAGGAGAATGCAAGCAGCTGCACCGATGAACACAACAAAGCCTTCACTTATGAATGTCCATTATACAGGACACCCCTGCGGGCTGGAACTTTATCATCAACAGGACATTCCACCAATTATGTAACATCTGTGAATATACCAACTGTGGTCAGACCTGAGCACTGGATACGAAGGGGGGTGGCCATGCTCTGCCAAATAACTGAATGACAGTTCTTTTACTGGTGTTCCTTTCCTACTTCCACTTAGTGGATAAAAGTAGCGTCAGTGGCAGGCTGTAGAATTTGCCTACCACAAGACACATTTGTGATGGGAAATGCCCTCTCCCCTAGACATGGGCACTATCAAGGTGGTCAGCTGGTTGGTATCTAAGAAAGAGGGTATGACCCAAGCAGGGGCGGACTGACAACTCATGGGGCCCCGTGCAATAGGGGATCATGGGGCCCCTGTGTCCTTGCTCAAACTCAAAAAAGCCTATGAAAAAGGTACTAGGGGCATCTCATGGGGCCTCCTACTGACCCCGGGCCTTCGGGCAGTGCCTGAGTTTCCAAATGGTCAGTCCACCCCTGTAGACAAGATAACTGAAGGGAAATATTAGATTGCACTGGATTGTCCCCTAAATGTCTATATAAAAATTATATTTCCCACAGTAACTGTTTATTTTTGCATAGCATTGCTAGTGTAAATAGTTAATATGATAAAAGTAAAAATGTATGAACTTTTAATCCATAAACTAGCTATCACACCATTGTGTTTTATTAGTCACTGACAGCAGCAATGCCCTTTTGAAGATTCAGCAAACATCCAGTTCTGTGCTACGGTCCTGCCTCATGATCCATAATCCATCAAATAAAGCTGTCACTTTCTACATAAATATACAGGAAGGATTAACAAGCAACATCTCTGCAAAGACTGAAAAATCCACACAAAATATTTATTAAAATTTATAGTAAATTGTGAAAAATGTAATGCTTGGAATAACAATTCAATGGTTTATGTGAATAAATGCGCAAGAAAAAAAAATGCAAAAAATAGAGGCATATATATATCTTAATACAAAAAATACAATTAGAATACACAATGGATTCACATGTTAACCAAAAAAAAAACTTCCATATGCAGACAGCTCTTAAAGCAAATAATAAAAGGCCATCTGTGCTGTGCTGCATTAATAATAAAAGGCCATTCACATCTGTGCTGTGCTGCATTAATAAACACATGGTTAACATGCGTTGCATTAGGGCAGCTCATAACTACACACACTACTACACAGCCAAAAATGGACATGCACCATTGTTCTGATACAACACCATCCTTTGTGTTGTGGCGTGCTGCAAAGGTGTGAATGGACCTCAGAAATGTTTCACGTAAACTGCAGGCTTGCAACAGGCCGATGATGTGCTGCTAAATTTAAAGGGTACTTTGGTTGCAGAAAGTATGGTCTGAACCACCTGACCTGACACAGGGGTCACATCCTCTAGGGGGAATCACTGTGCAAACTCTGCAGAGACCATGAAGCTCAGACTACACACTCCTGCAAAAAAGGAACCCTTCTAAAGATTTACAGTTTGGCAGCACTGCAGTTACGTCTGAAAGCACACACCCTTTCACACCGCAGTTTGGGGGTTGTGCATGGGACTGTGTGTGACAAATAAATTGTGACTTAAGAGTGTGGTTGTCTAAACTGAGAACAAAATGCTGCAGAAGACACCAATCAATGACCAGTTCAGGCCTTTGTGATACATTTTGTAAACAGTCCTAGCTGTGCTAAGAAAGCTATATAGCAGAGGTAGCATAAATACACACATTTTTGGATTAATCTTACATCTTATAAAATACCCATAATAAGTTATCTATTCAAAATATGGGATTAAAAAAAAAATTTAAAAAGTCCTGAGGAAGCAAAACATTTCACAATAAAACAAACATCTTCAGTAAATATACAATACTTGGTTGTAAGATCACATGTTGGCATAGAAAAAGGACCTAAGCATTATTTCTATAGAACAAGCCACACACTTGAAAAAAATGAAACCAAAATTAACCCTTCCTTGGCATGTCACATCTGGTAATAGTGGAGAGGAGCACATTCACAGCATGGCTCCTCCACTAAATACTAATTATTGTAAAGAAGGGCTTGTGTGGAAAAATTATTCGTTTACAAGATCTGCATATTAGAGACCCAGCAACAGATGGGGTTGGTAGATTAGGTTTTAAGTTAATTGCTCTTTAAAATCATAGAAAAGTCTTGGCGTTCTATAGAAGGAATGGAATAGGCAGTACAGGAACTTACAACAATCAAATAATCATTCAGTGGTTTTAAAGTTTAAGTTTAAAGGGGCAGCTAATATGTTAATGGGAATGTCATTAAGTAAGATATCTGTGTGGGAAGGCTCAGCTGGAAGCAACCCTTCTGTTCCTTCACAAAGTGTATACTAGCTCAGAGGCAGAAAATCTGAACCAATATTACCTGCCCCAGCTAGAGGATAGGACCTAGGCGTCTGAGAATATCGGTTTCTAGCCAAGGCTTTTCAAAATGTGTATTTTGCTTCACAATAGATTCCTTTATGACCAGTGCAAATTCTGCACTGATTACATTAAGCTGCTACTATAGAACAATCAGCAGTTGAGCACATGTCTCCCTCTACATTATAAAAATAAAGCAGAGGGAGGGCAGCCTTGTAAATGTATTGCCTTCTCACAGGATCTTTGACCAGTTGTAGGTATCTGTAGTGGAAGTTCTCCAAAATGCTCACAAAAAACCCCTCTGGGACCAAGACACATATCCCAGCATTGGTACAAAGGGGGAGAACAGGCTAAAAATACATGGCTGTGTTGACAAACATCAGACAGACAATGGTGTAGATCTTTACCGCTATCTGTTCTGCCAATTATAAACCCCACCTAAAGCTCCAGCAATTATGTCCTGAAAGATTTCCTGTTGGGTCAAAATCAGGCATGCACTCGCTAGACAGAACTCTGGGGCTACAGGAGCCAGAGGAGCTCAGACTAGTATTTTAAAATAGATAAGAAGGAACAGACCTAAAAGGATATTTCCAACATAGCCTTAAAAGGAGAAGTTCACCTTTGGGAACATGTAACATGTTCCTATAGCTGCAGACAAGTCTGCCGCCCCCCCCAGACAGATAATACGGGGAGACGTTTCCTCGTACTGAAAACGACGCAGCCATGCAGGGCTCCACCCACACGGCCACATCATTCATTCATGGACTTCCAAGAATGAACTGCAAGTCCCGACAGCTTTCGCGGCTGTCAGCTTTTAGTTTTCAGTGAACTACCATGACACTGGAGCACTGTCCTAGCTCATGGAAGCTTCCTGTCAAAATATCTGCTTGGCTGTACATCCCGTACAGCAAGCAGATATTCTGACAGGTCTGCAGGAGACATGCATGCCATCACCGATCTACTGGTCACTGGTACAATGCTTTCCAGGCTCCTCTGGACAAAAATAAATGCACAATTGTTTTTCTGCAACAAAATGTGCATTTATTATTTTTGTCCAAAAGGTGAACTTATCCTTTAAACCCTCCATTAATATTTCCCTCACATACAAGGTCACCCAATCTATAGGCACAAAGGACCACACATAATATTTCTAGAATGTTATTGCATATTGAAAAGCTGGGTAAATCTAAAGAGCACATATAGAACACCATTTCCTTTTTACTCAGAAGTAGTTCCCCAAGACCTGAACATTATTGTAAGGTTTCCTTCAAACTATGACAGCTACAACTCATGGCGCATACTAATGTGACCAGTAAGTTGGAGAAAGTTTTAAATAAAAGACTAATTAACGAGGCATATTAGAGTATCACACACCCAGGGCACCTCATTTCAGCACTTTGCCATGCTCTAAATTATTTCAATAATATTGTTAAAATGTAATGTAAATACCAGAAAAGAAAAAATGTAAACAAAAAGAAACCTAGTATACACCAACATTAGTAGTCAGTGTAAATGTGACCCCTTCCATTAGTGGTTAGTGAAAAAATTACCCCCATGCATTGGAGGTCAGTGTAGGTGGGAAATCAATTCACCACTTCTCAAGGTACCCCTAACAATATATTAGAGGGGACCCTAGCTTTCCATGGAACCATATTTTTTCCCCCCTTTAAAAAAATCAATAAGACTAAAGCTACATAGAGATGTACAGCTGAATGTGTTCATATCCTTGCAAGGACAAATGAGAAGCAACACAGCCTAAATACCACTAAAAAAATGTGCAACTTTGGTCCCCCACAAAGACAAATCACAAGCCTGGGCAGATTACAAGCGACATTGGGGCAGATCCTGTTAGTCAGCATCACTTTCTGAAGCCTTTTGGCTGAGATTTCAAAATCAAATGCCAGCAGCTGGTCACAGATGGCCAACATATTTAACTGTAAATCTGACTTTAGGTCTGTTTTAAGGGGTTATTTCACTATTACCAAAATGTCAAACATCCCTATGCATCACAGCACCCTCAGTACATTATTGTTCAGTGCGCATTGTTCTAATAAATGCTTACTTTTTAAGCTGCTTACTCCAATGCCCTCCCCCTCTCCTGCAATTGACAAGACATGCTGAGTGTTAAATGTGTGGCCCCAAAATAAGAACTTTGTTTCTTTACTTACCCATGCATGCGCCATCCACTCTCTTGCAGCTCTGCATTCTGACAAAGTGAAAAGACAGTGGACTGTGCATGCAGGGTAGGGACCAAAGCCAAGCGCTCATTTGTTTTCAGGGCTGCACATCCCATGCTCAGTACATTCTGCCATCTATAGAATGGAGAGGGGAGGGCAATAGAATAGGCAGCTTTAAAAGCATTCCTTTACAAAACTGAACTGCATAGTAATGTACTGAAGATGCTGTAATATTTTTGGCAAAGTCATGAAAACTGAACTAACCCTTTATTGCCAGCGAAAGGCTTTATTCTCTGACTGCCAAAATTGCTAAATTACAACGTTTGCATTAAACTGTCCACTTCCAACTAAATGTATGTAAAACATTTTTGTTTCTATATTTATGATAGTCAGTAGTTAAGAGGTCTAAGTGCAGTACAGAAGGGAAAGGATAGTAATTATTCACAGTACAGCTCTGACTCCAATTTGCAGTGTAGTAAATGAGATGTTTAGAAGACTTTAGACATGAAATCCTGGTACTGAAAAACCTGTAAACTCAGCTTAACATGCTCATCTGCTAGCAGTTGGACATCCAAGGTCTTAGTAGTAAAAAAAAAAAAAAAAAAAATTGTTATTCCCCCCCCCCATAGGTTAATATATACTTCTTCATTTAAAGAGAAGCCTGTGTGTTATCTTTCCAAAACACAAGTACTTGGCATCCAAGAAGAGAGCATATATACATAAATATTTAAAAAAAAAAAAAAAAAAAACTTGTGTTTATCCATAAATAATCTATGCAAAATTGGAATAAAACTAGGGATGCACCCATACAGAGTATTTGCATGAGTACTCGGACAAATGCGCCGACACCCTTGCAGTGAGATTTGATCCCATACAAAATGAATGAGCTCAAATCGCATTGCAAAGAATTGCATGCAATTTGAACAGGAATGCAGTGAAATTCCTGTCCGAATCACACGGTTTCCAGCACCCCTCCTGTGTGAACTCATGCTTGTCATAGTAACTTCAGACTGGGTTCACACAGGAGCGGTGCAGGAATCCGCATGCGATTCATACAGGAATTTCACCACATTCCTGTTCAAATTGCATGCAACTCTTTGCAGTGCGATTTGAGCTCATTTATTTGTATGGGCTCAAATTGCACCGCAAAAGGTATTGGTATTTGGCGAGTACTTGACTGAAAGTATTGGTACTCATACTCGCCGGTAAAAGAAATGATTGGTGCAACTCTAAATAAAACCTTTCAGAAGTGACTTTCATTGCACTGAAGACCAACATACAGTGGTGGGGGGAAAAAAAAAAAAAAAAAAAAAAAAAGTACATCCAAAAATCAAAGTGTTTCGTTTTTTAGGGTAAAAAAGGGTTAAAACCACTTTTTCTTCATCTGGGTCCTAGTAAGGAAGCTTATTTACTTCCTGTCTTGTAAACAAAAAGTGAAATATCTTTCCAATGTAATGAAAATCCCTTCTTAGACAATTGTCCCCCATTGATATATTTCCCATTTCCTATTCTGGTACAAAAACGCTAATTTTTAGATTTTTCCTTTTATTTACAGTCCTAGTGTCAGTGGTCACAAGGACAAAGAGGGTAAATCTCTACTGCAGAACACCTACAGCAATAAAAGCCTGATAGGGGATCCAACCCCTCACTACTCTATCCAAAACTAAGTTGTGGCTTCAGATACACTTTGACAAGGAAGTAATTGGACAGCCCAAATGATCTCCCAGACTACTAGTAATCCAAAGACAGTTGACAAATGGCCCTCCCATGTCATGTTGCGAAAAACATGCACTGTCTTTATAGGTACCCTTAATGTGTATCTAAGCCAATCTAACGGAAAAATGCAAAGCATTGAAAATTAAATTACATACAGTAAAAATAGCTTTCCTTGGTCAGCGAAAAAATAAAACCCTCTGTGCTGATATAGCATACATACAAATAAATTTAAAACATTATATACAAAATCGCAAACATTTACAATAGCCTGCATGGCCAAACCAGATTTCACTTGTCACCAAATATGAATAAAATCCAAAGATGGTGACAATTCCAATCGATAGTTGCTCTGCTAGTAAATGTAAGGGAATAGGCGATACGGGACGTGCTGACAATACTTCTGCCAGTCCAGGGCCATATTTTATTTTACACTGCTGTTCCACTCTGATCACTCGATGGATGAGAAGGGCAGTAAGGAAGAAGCCGTAGAAGTATGGCAAAATGCTGGTGAAACCTAGAAAAGAAGAAAAAGGACTCAATTATATCTGGCACTTAGTGGCAGTATACAATTAGAAATACAACCGTACGTAATCTAGCTGTCATGGTCAACAAGTCGGATTGTACAATCTCCTTTAGATTTATCAAAATTATGTAACTTGAGTGCCCACCTAAACAAGATTCAGTCTGTATTCAATAAGACAGGCCCTTGTTTTTTGTACATCTGCAGAAGATTGTACGATCAGACTGTAATGTGTATGTTCAGCTGTAAAATACCCTAAAGGACAGGGGTGCTCAACCTTTTGAAGAGTGAGGGCCACTTAAATGATTTGGTAAGCGGTTGTGGGCCACAATGAAATGAAATGGGTTACAATTTCAATTTTTTTTTTATTTTTAATAGCATAATGACCATTTTCCTCCTTCAGCTGCTGAATATCGGGGGGGAGAAGAGAAGTCAGCTTGCAGCAGTTTCAGGAGGAAACGGAGAGAATAGATTTCTGTATATGCTGCCCCTCCTATCCAAATGTAAAACTGAATGTGACAGGAGGCCACACAGGCCCCCTGGAGCATGAAGTGGCATTGCTATTGCGACCCCTGACACTACAGCAGTGGTTGGAGGGGTGTGGTAAAAAAAGAAAAAAATGTCTCATCTATGGGGTTTTATTGCATCATTCCTCCAAACCACAAATGTAAACAAGCCCTTCTTGTCCTAAGGCTTTCACACTGATGTGCTGTGATTTATCCACACCAGGGGTGCAGCACAGTGCACCCTCTGTATTTCCTGTGGGTTAGCTACGCTTTGCCATAGACTTCCATTATATCTTGCAGATGTAGTGCACTTTCTGACAGCGCACAAACCCGCAGGATATAACAAGTCTATGGCTCAAGACCGGATAACCCACAGGTGCCTGTGCTGCACCCGCTGACCACTGTGAAAGCAGCCTAATAGTTTTTAACCCTCTTATAGGTGCTAATATGCCCCTTGCAAAAGCGCAGTGTACGTGTTTAATACAATGACCTTTTTTCCTCTTCCAGCATCTGCTGGCATTGCTCTCCAGGCTGCTAGAAAGGTCCCAGGCGAAGTGCACTTGGTATCACTCTGCCTGGGGCTACAGAGGAAGCATCGGCTTATGTGGCTCCTGCTCTATCCGCGACTACCTGCATCCTCCACTGCTGGCGCTAGCTCAATGCAGTCAGATGCTCTGGAATGACCACAGGTTGAGTACTCCTGCTATAGGGCAAGCTGGGATATGTAGTTACTGGTTTGAGGAATAGCCCCATTTTCTTTAACCTGAGGCAGAGCTTAAATGACAAAGTGGTTCTGTTCCCTCAGAAGATACTAAAGGGCAACTCCACCTTTAGTGAAGATGTCCTTTACAGCTTCCCCTTTCAGAATACTTACCCTTAGCTCCACTACAGAGATCTACACCGTTGGCACCACAAATATGCAGGCCCTTGCACCTCGATCATTAATTCCTATGGCTGTGTCCTTGCCCCACAGAATTGACCCGTCCTTCATGAGTACAGACCAGCCATAGGAATAATTGGGGCCAGGCCACATGTGAAAAGTGCAGGGTCCTAATGCAACTTTCTCAAGCAAAGTCTGAGAGGCTCCAGGCAGGGCCACACAACGAAGAGCCTCAAATAGGGCTGGTGGCAAGTAATCCACTCTGTAAGTTACACCTAAAGCATATCTATGGTCAAAATGTAATGTAAATTCAGTTCACATTGTATTTCATTTACTGCTAGCCTACTCCTATTACTATAAGTGATCTTGATGTTTGTAAACTTTCTTCATGAAGATCCCCACACATTTCTTCACTATGTCCTGTGACAAGGCACTGCTGTGGCACACATTTCACACAGCCTGCCTTCTGAACTACAGGAGGTGCTGAGAGGAGAAGTCAGTACAGGAATCACTGTGTACAGGCAACAAGAGAATTTAGGAAATTGTGGAAGGTGATCATCACACTGGCAGCACAATGCGGATGAAAAAAAAAAAATGAAAGTGTATATGGCGACCATATATTTCCTTCAAGTGGTAGCTGCAAGGCTAGGTTCACATTGTTGCAGGTGTGGGACTGTGTGTCAGACACATTTCCACAGCCAAAATGTGCTGCAAACACATGGAGTTAATTTTTAATAGCACCCACATGCAATGAATAGAAAAAAAAAAATAATAATAATAATTGCACATTTTTGGGTGCATGAAAACCGCATGGTATCGGCAGCTTAAATAAATAATTCAGGAGCCTTCCCTGCCTTAAATGCAGGTACAGCAGCGCATTCAAATTAATGGGATGTTGTGTCTGTGCAAACACGAGCAGCACCACCCACACAGATGTGAACCTAGATTAATGGACAAGTTGCTGGAGAACAGAGGTCCTAACCATTTCCAACAGTACAAAACTAAAACCAAAAATACACAAGTCTTAGCTTTTGATAAACATTTAAAAAATGATTCAGCCAGCCAAAATATGACTGAACAGAAACATTCCTGTGATCTGAAAAGTAAATATCTATGCTGTCGGCAAGAACCAAACTGTAGCTGTTTTTTTTTTCCTAATACAAAACCATTTCATAACTTACTATTGTCACAGTAATACTCACCACAAGGTAAACACCAGGCCCAGGCCATTATGATATCACCCAAGTAGTTTGGGTGTCGGACCCATCCCCAAAGCCCAGACACAATCAGCTTACTGCCAGCTGAAGTTGGGATGGTTTTCAGATCTGGGGTGAGAAAAAGAGAACATTCATACAGCTGCATGTAATCCAGAAGAGGACAAGCACTGGATTCAGACAAATAAAAAAAAAAAAAAAAAAAAAAACAAACACAGATGGGGATTTGGACTCACGTGAAAGCTTAGGGTTATCTGGATTTTTCCTGAAGGCAAACTTCTGTCTGTTGGCACGTTGAAAAAGAAAGTATCCAAGAGCTAAATTATACAAGCAGAAAACACTGTAAATGCCTGAGCAAGCATGGAAGAATACACCACCTTATAGCCCAACTCCATGTTTTAATGAACTTTAAACTGTTTGAACCAAGCTGGAAGCTCCCATCCTGCTGCTGAACACATCACTGATGCAACATACAGTTTATTGAAGCCATGGCTCATCCAAACGTGTGTGCAAGCCAGAACAGCATCTTAAAGCTATAATCAAAAGGGCAATTTTTGTGTAAAAAAAAAAAAACAAAAACAAAAAAACCATTAGCAAATCAGACTCCACTTCCTGCTTTGCATTGCTACACAAAAGGTTGTGCTTCACTGCATTTTCTCACAATGAGAGTCAAAGAGTTGGGCAATATCACTATAGCAGTCTCTAGTAAGAGCAAAAAATAAAAAAAAAAAATAAAAAATTTGAAGACACTGCTGTAATATTTAAAGGAAAAATAGCAGCAGCTAATTGGCTCACAATCATACAATTCTCTATTCTGCAATGAGTTACACCATACACACATTACAAAAAGAGGTGAGAGGACATTGGACAAAGCCCCCAGTATCTATTTAGCAGTATGCACTATGCTTACAATGCAGAATTACAAAGAAAGGAAACTTACTGTTCAAAGTAATAGCAGCTGCAACAGTTGCACAGCAAATATCCACTGAATGCTTGACCAGATACAATGCTTGCAGGGAGTATGTGAATGGAACCCATACAAGGCCTCCAAATGCCAACATAAAGCCGAAACCATCATAAGCAACATCCAAAGAGGTTAGGATACCCTCCTAGAAACAAGGACATTGGATACACATTATTAGTAAGCTATACTAAAACATCATGTAAACAAGTTGATGCAGATGGCGGTTTTTTCCCGGAGTACATATGAGACACATAGCTAAAAGTTACCTAAAGGCTGCGACCATCCATGCCTTTATAACCATGATACACCACTAAACTGGAGGAACTTTATTTTAATGTCGGTGAAGGTACCTACAATTTTTTTCTGTAGATAAATGGTAAAGCAAGTGAAGGTTCTCAAATGTTTGTAGACACCTCAGCAAGTCACTGAGGCACGCACACATTGGGGAGATTTGCTAAAACTTCAGCTTATTCAATTAAGCTTTGGCAATAAATCCTGACAGCCGATTGGTTTCAGTGCAGAGCTGCATGAGAATTTGCACCATGTAGTTTTAGTAAATAACTCCCATTGCATTGCAGGGGCACTTTCATTTCCTAATCATGTCTATCTGTGGCATGGGGAGTTACATTTTGTTTTTTAATCTCAGCACTCAAATACTAGTGCTGGGTTCAGTAAACCAGGGACAAAGTGTTCTTAGGTTTCCAAGCGCTCTCTATATACCCACTTTAAAGTAACAAACTGCATTTAAAAAAAAACGATTAATGTTATTCTTAATTTAAAAAAAAGGAATAAAACACAATATAGTCTGCACTAATGGATAACAGGACAGCTAGCAAGGAACTAATATATATTGATTCCCCAAAAATCTAGAAAATGCAGCACCAACAATCCAAAGAAAACAAGAAGAACATATATTCAATCAAAAAATTCATACATTCATAAAAAGTTCATAATTTAACATGGAATCATTAACCACTTGCCAACCGCAGCACTTAAGATGTGCAATGGCAAGGGGGCTCGCTTGCACTGGATTACGTACCTAGTATATGATCCAGCTCTTTTGGGTAGGGGGCGCGGGTGTCCGCTGCCCCGGCTACGCTGTGATTAGACAAAGTACAAGCCAATCAGCAAGTCCCGGCTACTGATTGACTGCCAGGACCTGGTGATTGGCGAAGAGGCTGACAAGGACAGAGGTTTGTGTATGTAAACAATACAGAGCTCTGCCCTGTTAGCGGGAATGTGCCAGTTTTTGTTTCCCTGCAAAGCAGCAAGAAATGATTTCATGAAAATGGAATACAGAGTAATTTAGTGGATGTGTATGGATTATTACTGGAGAATATAGATATTGTTTAGTGTCACTTTAATATACCAATAACCCCCACAAAAAGGTGCACACTGTTCTCCACCACTATGTGAACACTGTCTAATGGAAAAGTAAGGGCCACACAAGTACTGGAGGAGAAGAGCACAGACTCATATCCCAAGATTGAGCAGAAGTTCCTTGGTTAAACAAAAAAAAAAAAAAAGAAGGGTACATATAATTTGTTTCCTAATGCAGGAGGATAAATCCATTAAAGCCAACATTCTCCTCAAAAGAGGAATCAGATCATATACATCTTAAGAAGAAAAGAAAAAGAAAAACAATCTTGTGAAGTTACTCTGAATTACCTGATACCAAAGAGCATGAAGGGCATACAACAGCTGAAAGCTGTTTACCAGGATCATAGATACTGAAGGCTTGTCGTGTTTCTGGACATCCATTTCAGCCAAAAGCATTATAAAGTTGAGTAAAACCTAGAAAATCAGGAGAGATCATAGTATGAAATTATAAATGTATCCATTTTTTCAATCATCTGCAGATAAAATTGGCCAGGTTGGTAAAAGGTTTAATAAAAAAACAAAAGCCTTACCCAACCAATAAATGTAGGTTGAATGGCAGTAAAATACTTGATGTCAAAAATCCCAATGTGAGGGTTTCGTTCTCGGCCCATGAAAAAACCATAGATGAAATTCCCTGTAATATGGAAGCACATCAGACTGTGTGGCTCTCGGCAAGCAAATCAAACATAAAATCAATAATATAACAAATGTCTAGCATTTAAAGCTGAACTTCTGAAAGGAGCTTCACTTTTTCTCCTCCTCCCCACACTAACACTTTTGAAATTTTCTTTCAGGGAGCAGGTACCCATTTCTGAGAGGTATCCATTCCCACGTCCGCTCAGATCTCCTAGGTTAGTGGTTTCCAAACTGCACCCCGCGGGCCAGATGTGGTCCTTTACTTACCTTTATCCAGCCCTTCAGGCACTGTTCCTTCAACTAATATGAGGCACTATTCCTCCCATTGATACAAGGCACTCTTCATCCCACTGACATCAACTGTGGGGCATTTTTCCTTCCACGGTCACCAATAATAGGGCATAATTCCTTCCACTGATATAAACAATTGGGTACTATTACTCCCACCAATGATGGGGCACTATTACTCCTCCTACGGACTGCAGGTACTATGTAATTTTTTTAAACTCCCACTGGTTACCACACCCGAGACATTGTCTACTCATACTGATGTAGAGTCATTTTCAACCCCCCTTGGCCACAATCCAGCCCTCCTAAAGACTGAGGAAAAATAAACTGGCCCTTTGTTTAGAAAGATTGGAGACCCCTGGCCTAGGTGATCCGAGAGGAATTTGTACCCTCCCCAGGCAATGATTGCAGTTCCTTTCACAAAAAATACAGCATGACTTGCACATGTGCAGTGAGGAGCTGGAAGTGAAGCCACAGGAAGTCACAGCTGGCTTCCCACATCCAAGATGGCAGCGCCACGGATTAAGAACCAGCCTGTGTGAGTACAGTAAGTGCATATTTATTACTACATTATTTGTAGCTGATGAATTTTTTTATTCCCACACCAAAGATCCTCTTTAAATATATTCCCTGTAGCCGGGTATTTATGAAGCTGCTATACAAAGAAATACCTAAGTGACTAATTCATGATAAAAGTATGGGGCCTGCCTTTGCTGACCTCTCATTTGAGAAAGTTCATTTCCTAACTGCCATGCTGATAGTTTGCTTTAGTGCTTCCAGAGTTTTTTCTGGATCAAATACAAAGAATTCAGACACATTTACAGCATTCTTGTTCTGTGTCTATGGGTCAAAAATACTGAAGACAGACAGCCAGGCAACCATTTTCAAAAGAGAAAACAGCAATGGCAGCCACCAACATACTATTTAAAACATCTGTAAACAAACACTGGGAAATATTTTGGAATATGATTATTTTTTAAAATCAAATTTAACAGAAGACATAAATAGCCATATTAAAACCACTAAAAACATCACCGAGCAGAAACTGCTAGCCACAGAATACCACAGTAAATTGCTCTATGATGTCTGCATTTTATGTCACGCCTATAAGCAGAGTGGTGTGGAGCATGCGGTGTCTCCCTGATAGGAAGGAAATCCAATGACATGATCAAAAAGTCATGTGACTGCCAACCCTCCATTACTTGAAATAAGTGGGGCTTTCACATGCAGCAGACCACGGCTCTTGAAAAGCTGCAATATGCAAGTAATCTGGGCACAGTTAAAGTAACCGCTGTACCGTGAACTGCTTTTAAACATGTTAAGTGGATTCTGGTTTATGTTCTCTACAACATCAAATGAGGAGGGGAATGTTTCACAACCAGCGTAATAAAAAAAAAATGACCTACCAGATTTCCCAGCCACAGAAAGATCTTCTTTTGGGGCTCTATACGAATGTGCAAATGCATAAACACTTATGACGACAGAGAATAAAGTAGCTGCAGCTGCAAATTGGTGGAGGTGTTTATATACGTAAAGCAGATTGACCCGATTGTACAAAAGTGCTGCTACCACCACAGCAACCAGGAGCAAACTATGGAGTCCTGTAAGAAGAAAACAAAGTTCAGAGATTTGTGTCTGATATAGAAAGTCAGAGCCAAGGACGGAATTTCGTAAAGAGCTGGTCAAAGATCTGGTCAGTGGAACACTTAGACTGGCCTGCTGGCAGCACAGTTAGGATATTGCTGTCCTTCATGAATATTTATGAGCTATATGTCTTTATGAGGACTGAGGATCTACAGACAAGTGAGGCTGCACTTGCATCAACAAAATGCAGTCTATGCCTCTCTTTAACTGCTTCTCAACCGCCAGCAAGGTACTGCGGACGGGCGGCAGCTACAGGCAAAGCAACGTACCCGTACGTCTCTCTGGCTGTACTAACACAGGAGGGCGCTGTATCATTTGCTTGTATCTTTTTTTTTTTTTTTTTTTTAAAGGTTTGTTTTTCACTACTTGCCCCCCGTTTATCCACGGGCAAGCAGCAGCTCTTGGCAAAGCGACAATCTTTCGTCGCTTCCTGTTTTGGGGTGTAACCGCGCCTGCACTCCCCTCTGCCCCCTATCGGTCCAGGGAGAGAAGACCACACCAAGTAACAGCACTACATTTTACACACACATTAGATGGACTACACATGCCTCTGCACACTCCTTGGGGTGTCTACGTTCCAAAAAAAGATAATATGGGGGGGTTGTACTGCCCTGGCATTTTAGCATCTCAAGAAATATTGTGATAGGCAGAAAGTTAAAAAGCTATGTAAATTTTTTAATTACACACACACACACACTTTTTTTTTTTTTTTTTTAACCAAAGACATGTAGCAGAATACATTTTGGTCTAAATTTATGACGGAGTTTATTGGATATTTTTTATAGCCAAAAGTGAAAAATGTGGGGGTTTTTTCAAAATTGTCGCTCTTTTTTTGTTTATAGGGCAAAAAGTAAACACTGCAGTGGTGACCAAATACCACCAAAAGAAAGCTATTTTAGTGGTGCACCGAAATAAAAATTTTGGTGCTGAAACAGATACTAAAAATTCAGAATGCATGTGGCCGAAAACAGAACCGAAATGTCTGCGTATATGGGGGTGGGGAGGCTCCCAATTTTTTTTTGTAATTTTTTTTCTACTTTCATGTATATTTTTATTTATTTTTTTTAACTTATGATTTTATTGCCATCACATAGGGGACCAATAGTCCTCTATGTGACAGATCCTCATCTAGGAGGCAGGTGTGTGTAAGGAGGGGACAGGAGAGGAGCAGTATATACAGTAAGGAAGCAGTGAATACAGAGAGGCTCCCTCACTGGCTGTCACTATAGGTCAGTGCCGGTTTTAAATGCAATTGCCGGCTTTTTTTTTTTCCTTCACTATAGCTCACAGAATTAGCTGTTACTTTCCCCGAAGATAAAGGAAACTTTGTTTTGTTTCTTTCAGCCTGGGGGAAAAATAACTAATTCTGTGAGCTATAGTGAAGAAAAAAAAAAAGCCGGTAATTACTTTTAAAAACCGGCACTGCATATACAGGCATACCTCATTTAACCCTTGGCACTTATAGCCCCTTATTTACCAGGCCAATTTTCAGCTTTCAGCGCTGCCGCACTTTGACGATTGCGCGGTCATGCAACATTGTACCCATATGAAATTTTGATCATTTTTTTTTCTCACAAATAGAGCTTTCTTTTGGTGGTATTTAATCGCCACTGGGCGCTTTACTTTTTGCGCTATAAATTAAAAAATGCAAAAAATTTGAAAGAAAAAAAAGTTTCTTTGTTTCTATTATAAAATTTTTCAAACAGGTATTTTTTCTCCTTCACTGATGTGCGTTGATGAGGCAGCACCGATGGGCACTGATAAGCCGCACTGATGGGCATCGATAGGCAGCACTAAAGGGCACTGATAGGCAGCACTAATGAGGTGTCACGGATAGGCGGCACTAATATGCAGCACTGATAGGCGACACTGATGATGGGTACTGATAGACGGCACTGACTGGCATCACTGCTGGGCACTGACTGGCGGCACTGACTGGCACAACCCCTGGGCACTGACTGGTGGCACTGCTGGCACAGGTGGGTGGGCACAGGTGGGCACAGGTAGGTGGCACTTCTGGGCACAGGCGGGTGCAGGCGGGTGCACTTCTGGGCACGCACTTCTGGGCACAGGTGGGCGGAACTTGCGGGTGGCATTGCTGGGCACCGATCATCAGGGCACTGATCATCAGTGCCCTGATGATCGGTGCCGATCCCCGCTCTGACAACTGCCGGTTTTCGGCAGTACTTTCCTCACGATCTGACAGCGTGAGGAAAGTGCAGCCGAGAACCGGCACTTGCATTTCCCTGTGATCAGCGTGTCATTGGACACCGCTGATCACGTGGTAAAAGGCCGGTATGATTGGCCTTTTACCACATCACTTGATCAGCTGTGTCCGTAGGACACAGCGATCACGGAGATCGCCGGGTGTGCGCGGGAGAGCGCGTTCTGGGAGGACGTCATATGACGTCCACTCAGAACTGGCCGGCCGCAGTTTTAGCCGTTTAGCGGTCGGCAACTAGTTAACGAATTTAATTTGTTCTGCGGGACTTTTCGCATAGCGAAAAATTTGAAAACCGAAACACTGCTTCCCATAGTAATGCATTGAAAACCAATTATTCCGTTCCAGAGGTCAGAAAAAAAGTAAACACTACTAAAATACCACATGAGTTATATATACATATATATATATATATATATATATATATATATATATATATATATATATATATATATATATATAAATAAATAAATGATGGCAGATATCTCCCCCCAAAAAAAAAAGAAAAAAGAAAAAAAAAAAAAAGACAGGCCGCCATAGTGTAATACTGTCAAAGACAAAGATTGGAATTTTTATTAAAAACCAAATCTACTCACATAAATCTGTTAAAAACAATTGTAAAAAATGCACAGAAAAGTGGGGTCCCACTCTCTCCAGCAATGCTAGGCTAATAGTCAATCACACATGCGACTGTACTGTTTGGCGTTCTCTCTTTTGTGAGTTTTGGGAAACCCCCCACCCAAAAAAAACAAAAAACAAACTCTACACCTAGGTGAATGCAACATTGATGTGATGCTGCATCTGTCCCCCTCTGCCACTACTCTGAGAACAAAGCATTTAAATACCACTGATCATTCAGTTCTGGGTCTTCAGCGAGCATTCCCTAGAGCGCCAGGCTGTGGAGAGGGAGGAGCAGCTGGCTCAGGCTCTCAGCAGCGTGCAGGTCTGGCACCTGGGTGAATCCTAACATAAGAAAAATTTGGGATCTCCCCAGAGAGTCTGGACTGGCTGAGTGACCTCAGTTGCAACTTGACTTTAGTCCACTCTCGGCTGAATACAGCTCACAGGAGTGCAGAACATGCACTCTTGTGAGATCATAAATAATAAGTTGCCGCGCTCTAATACTAAATGTATTCCAATGAAATTAACTTACTGTGAAAGTGCATATTATGTATACCAATTCAATAATGTGTTATATGAAAATATTGATATCAACTTATAAAAGTTACATCTCCATAAAAGGATAAATTGTGATCACAAAGTGAAAGACCAAAATAGAATCTCCATATATATAAATATAAAAGTCCAATTGTGATATTAAATTAATAAGTGAAAAAAAAAAAAAGTGCAAAAGTTTACTACATCCCCCAGACGAAGCTACGTTTTCCCTGTGGCGCAACGCGTTGGGGAGGGGCAGTGACGTCACCACGCATCTGTTCATCGATACGGCGAGTACTGACGGTGTGTGCCAACACACCCACGAGGCTGATTCTCACTGCACCCAGCGGGTATTTGCATGATAAGCGCATTGTTAACTTGATTAATGTGAGTGCATTATGGACGCACAATAAAGGCTTTTTACATCTTGGATAAGGCACCATATATCCTTTCCTTTCTTTTACGGTTTCACACGAGGATACATAGAGAATCGGAGGGAGGCTCATAGAGAAGCTGCAGAATCCCAGTTACACAACCACAGGCTGCTTGGAAGGAAGGAGAGTATATTGACATCTTGTTCTCTTGTGAACTTTTCTTCACAATTCTTTGCACAATTGCACATTGGGCATATTAACTATATATATATTTTTTTTCTTTTTCACTTATATTGATTTAATATCACAATTGGACTTTTATATTTATATATGGAGATTCTATTTTGGTCTTTCACTTTGTGATCACAATGTAACCATTTATGGTGATGTAACTTATAAGTTGATATCAATATTTTCATATAACACATTATTGAATTGGTATACATAATATGCACTTTCACAGTATAAGTTAGTTTAATTGGAATACATTTAGTATTAGAGCGCGGCAACTCAATATTTATTATCTTCCATTTAGCACACTTTATAGGAGGGTGAGCAAGGGAGCCTGCGATCTAATACAATAATTGATTTAACTGTTGACTCCAGTGGCTCACAAGTTAATATATTCATTAACATGCACTCTTGTGACCTACAGGAGAAATAGGGCCAAAAGAGCTTTAGCCCTACTTCTCCTTTAAAGTAAAAATGTCATAAGCAGAGCACAAACATTAAGATGAAAGCATTGGCATCTCATGGGTGCTTAAAAATATCTGCACTTGTCTGGGAGTAACCTGGATTCAAGCTTTAGGCAGGGCTGAAACTTCTCCACAATTTAATGTTATATCCTGTCAGTAAACAACAGATACTGTAGCCACTAGAAGGCTAAATGACAACGCCTGGATGACAGGAGGTGAGGCTGAGATCCAGCAGGGGTGGACCTTAACCTAAATTTGGAGAACATTGACTACATATGTTCAGCCAAGGCCATGATCTAGGGTTCTCCAAAGACTCAAATCAACAAGTCTGGAGACAAGCGAAGTACCAGAAAGAGATAATTTGAAAATCTTACCATGTAGTCTGTATTTCAGTCTTTTCCCATTTGGAAGGGGTACACCATAGGCAATCTTTAAAAAAAAAAAAAAAAAAAAAAAGAAGGGGGGGGGGGGGTCAACAAAAAATTCTCCAGAAGTCGAAAGAAATGTTTTAACTTTCAAAAGTAATTTCTGCACACATCTTCGAGTACACCATTTGCCAACCATCTGCCTCTGACTGCTACACTCATCAGAGCGATAGTGCAAATTGTTGATGTCATTACTATTCTGCTTGCTGGAGGGTCTGTAGTATAAATCTTCCTCCAACACTAGTGCTATTTCTTGATCACACCAATGACTGGTGATATAACATCAGTCATCAGCGAAGCAGCTCTGACATAAGCAAGCAAAGCCCTGCCTCTACCAAGATGGCCACTGCCACACAGAAACACAGTGCAGGACAATAGTAAGTCAGTAAGAGGAGAAGAGAAGCTGTGGGAAGAATAATAACTGGTCCTTTGTCCTCTGTGTTTTCTGTCTTCTAGAGTTCAGGTCTTCTTTCCACTAGTTACTTTATGTGATGCAGGCATAAAGTGAAAATGACCTGTACATATAGGCTGTTACCTTCTACTAATGAACTGCATTATAAACAAGTCAAATGGCAACAGTCCACATTACGCACACAACTAAAAATAACAAACACACACACACACACACACACACACACACACAATCTCTCTCTTTCTATACATACACACACATACAGTATACACACATATACTTTAGGGGCTTATTTTTCTTTTACAGCATTCTTTGAGTCCGTGGTCAGGTTTTTCATTGCAATCAAAGCGGTGGAAATGCACATTAAGTTATAATCTCTGCCTGGAAGGAAGGTCCATTACCAATAACAGACCCACTTTGCAAAGCCTGACTGAAAAAATCTACACAAACATGCTAGGGGGCGTTTGAGCGCGCAGGTGGCTGAGCAACACTATTGAGTTGCTTGCTGCCGCTGATAATTGCAGAGTGAAATCACAGGTTAATTTTCAGAAGAAAATATGAAAGATGAAAAGAAAAAAAAAGAAAAAAAAAACGCTAAAAAAAAAACGCTACTACAGTAAAGCAAATCTGACTATTAAACCGTCAAGGTGTCCAGATTCATGGATTTTCTAGAAACCTTGCTTAATTGATACACATTTGACAAATGAAATTCCTATCTCATCAAAAGGTAACAAGCAATGTAGCAACTTTACTTCCTAACTATTTATACCTACATTCACATAATTATTGTAAAGTTCTCACCTTGCCAATGGGGAGCAGGTAGAATAATGCAGTAAGGAGCACCCACAAAGTAAAATATCCAAAAACTGTAGGATTCCACAAGTCAGTGAGTGACCAGTGAGGGTAGAAACTGAGGAGCGACACATTCTCCTGAGTACACTGGTACAGCAAATAGTACAACAATGGAAGCAAAGACAGGGTCATAAAAAAGGTACCTTAAAGGAGAAAAAAAAAAAAAAATTAACTCATGAAATCAGATTACAGAACAAAAGCTACTTTGGTTTGCTACCTCGATCTAAAAATGTTAATTGGCTGGAAAGATCTGACTTCTAAATTTTCAATCACAGACCTGAAGAAGCATGCATTAAATGAAAGTCCAAGAAAAGTCATTTATTATCTGACAGCCACGTAGGTAGCATTTTCTGATGGAATGGTCAGCAATGCTCGTCTTGATATATATAGATATTCCTGTTTAATTCTCCCTCAGTGTAAGATGCTCAGTAGTCACTACAGGCAGATCCTTCTCTTTCGTCCTCCATTCATAAATTGTTATTGTCCATTCCCCAGGTCGTAATAAGTTAGTCATTTTATACACATCAAGTACAATTACCGTATTTTTCGCTACATAAGACGCACTTTTTTCCCCCAAAAAAGGGGGGAAAATGTCAGTGCGTCTTATGGAGCGAATATAAAGCGGCCGGTCCGGTATTTTTGCGGCCACCATGTCAGAATACCGGGCCGGCCGCTCAGCTGTTGTCTCCTGCAGGGCCTTACCTGTTCCTCGCTCCAGCGCTGCACAGTCTTCCCGCGCTGGCTTCTGTGACAGCCGGGTGCCCACTGCGCATGTGCTGTGCTGTGCTTTGTGAATGATCCGGTGTCTTTCTGGGACACATGAAAGGTCCCAGAAGGCGCCGGGCCATTCACAAAGCGCAGCGCTTCTCGCACATGCGCAGTGGGCACCCGGCTGTCACAGAAGCCAGCGCGGGAAGACTGTGCAGCGCTGGAGCGAGGAACAGGTAAGCCCTGCAGGGAAGGACAACTCCGCGGAAGTGGGAGCGGGTACCTGTCAAATTCAGGTACCCGCTCTCCCTCCCCAAAGGTCAGCAGTCTCTGGTCATCCCCTGCACTGTGTCCGCAGTCTCTGGTCATCCCCTGCACTGTGTCCGCAGTCTCTGGTCATCCCCTGTACTGTGTCCGCAGTCTCTGGTCATCCCCTGTACTGTGTCCGCAGTCTCTGGTCATCCCCTGTACTGTGTCCGCAGTCTCTGGTCATCCCCTGTACTGTGTCCGCAGTCTCTGGTCATCCCCTGTACTGTGTCCGCAGTCTCTGGTCATCCCCTGTACTGTGTCCGCAGTCTCTGGTCATCCCCTGTACTGTGTCCGCAGTCTCTGGTCATCTCCTGTACTGTGTCCGCAGTCTCTGGTCATCTCCTGTACTGTGTCCGCAGTCTCTGGTCATCCCCTGTACTGTGTCCGCAGTCTCTGGTCATCCCCTGTACTGTGTCCGCAGTCCATTGGTTCAGAATATTTTTTTTTTTCTTGTTTTTTACCTCTAAAACCTAGGTGCGTTTTATGGTCAGGTGCGTCTTATGGAGCGAAAAATACGGTAGGTGAAAGTCAGAAAATCTTTTGGGGATGTCACACCAGGAGAGCAATGGCAATAATACCTTGTTTACTTATGGTCACTAAACAGAAATTTTTTCAGGAACTAGTCTGTACCTGTTAAGCGTACCATCACTCATTTTATAGAAAACTTTGTTTATATGATTTTGTTTTTATGAAAGTGTGTCATACAAAACAAAAAAGATGAATAAAAGGCAGTTTTAACAAATGAACACTTGCCTATTGCACCTCCAAACTCCAACTGAATCTCCTCAGCTGGCTTTGCTTTAACAACTTCTATATTGTTAGATTCTTTTTCTATGTAATCCTCTTTGTTACGCTTATACCGCAAGACTCTCTCACTTCTCACAAGTTCTTCCACCACTTTCTCCTGTAAAAGGACAAGGTATTTTTAAACTTTAAAAGAAAAAATATGTAGACCTGCGAACAAATATAATTGAAAGCGTTCTTATGAATAAATCCCTTGAGATAAAAAGTTAAATCCTACTGGAGTTACTGCAACTAAACATTTTAGGCCACAAGTCTGGACACCAAAATCCAAAATGATTGATTTCAGGTATTTCCAGCAGAAACAATTGAGTACTGTCCGTGATACTTTTTTTTATTTGCACTAACATACAATTTTGAGGACAAGCTTTCGGGGTATGTCCTTTGACTTTGAAGAAGGGGACATACCCCGAAAGCTTGTCCTCAAAATTGTATGTTAGTTCAAATAAAAAAAGTATCACGGACAGTACTCAATTGTTTCTGTCACAAATGCACTAATACGGCTACAATCACCTCAGGTATTTCCAGTGAAATGTACAGTTTATACCACAACAGGCAAAGACATTTTAGGCAATGAGGGGAATTTCAGAATTGGAACAGCCAGAATCTGGAGCAGCTATTCATGGTAACAACCTCTATCATTCATTCTCCAATCGTAACTGAACAAGGTGAACTAGTGGACTAGTTGCAATGCACAGCTGCTCCAGATTTAATTCCCCCACAATGTGCGCTTCCAACCTTGTGATAAGTTTGCGGAAGGCTTTTATTCCATGGCTTAGGGAAATTGATGTGGCATAATGGTCCTGACCTCAATCCAACTAAACACCTTTGGGATGAATTGGAATGCAGGTTGCAAGTTAGGTCTTCCTATCAAACATCAGTCCCTGACTCACTTATGCTCTTTTGGCTGAATAAATGCAAATCTTCACAGACAAGCTTTAAAATCTTGTGGGAAACCTTCCAAGAAAAGTGAGGACAAACCACAAGCAAAGGGGGGCAATCCACAGACAGTAATTAAGACACTTTATGTAGTTTTTTTTTTTTAGCCATCTGTGTAAATGTTGAGGTGACTTTCTCCTTCTGTCTTAATGAAAAGCTGTTGATAATACAGGACAGAAGGTAAAGACTTTCTTATGAAGTACAGACAACTGTCAGGGACATGAATTCTTCAGATTTCAAAAAGCGAAATATTCAGGCCCCAACAGTGATTTTGGAAGTTGTCCTCACATAGGAGTGTGACCATGAAAAGCTCTTAAGTGACCTTATCCTAAACAGGGGGAGAACAAATATTTCTGACAAAAGAAGCTACTGCTTCCCAATTAGAAAAGTGTACTGTAGATAAATCTTGCTGGAAAAATCCAATGTATTGTTAGAAGCTTACCACTCTGTCCACGTTACTATGCAAAGACTCCTTTACGTAATCCTCTCTGTCCAGGTTACTATGCAAAGACTCCTTTACGTAATCCTCTCTCTCCACGTTACTGTGCAAAGACTCCCTGAAGTAATCCTCTCTTTTCACGTTACTACGCAAAGGTTCCCTAAGGTAATCTTCTTTCTCCACATTAGTACGCAAATGCTCGCTGAGAAAATCAGTTTTACCAATAACTTCTGCTTCACCATTGCTCTTTTCAATGCTATAGTCTTCAAGTCTCTGAAATTAAGGAAGTGAGTCAGTTATGCCAAAATCCCTCAAACCTGAAAAAAAAAAAAAATTGGCAAAGAAATATGAACATCCTATTATGCCATTGTAAACAGAATAAAAGCTTTAGAGCATTACAAAGCCATACCAGTGGTGTTAGATGGACCTTTAACAAGTCCCCCTTCCGACTGTCTCTTGTGACAGGAACAGGAGATGACTGCTGGACTTTCTTTGGTGTTCGGCCTGGTGACTTTGTGCGGGCAGGAGAACGTGATCTAGATCGGCTTCGCCGTCTGGAGGGAGAGGCGGAGTTTCTCTTTTTGCTTCTGAAAGACCCCAGGGTCTAGTACAGCAAATAAATTAGTTAGAAAATGAACACCCCAAGCATACCACAGTTTGTGTGGGATGCAGTGCTTTCAACAAAGATAGAAAAATTAAAAAATTTTTACAAAACTGGACGATAAACTTGCTACTTTATTAACCCATTTACTTGTGCAAATGTAAGTGTAGCACACAGAACAAATGAATAGCTTTATGATAGCAGAAACAATAAGCTTCTATATTGAGCCAAGTTCAGCCAATAAATGTCTCTAAATGCCCACTAAAACACTCACATTTTGACATGCTAATCTCAATTCTAAATTATACTTATGTCAACCCATGCAAACTGGTACCAAAATGTCACCCCAGCCCTAGAGGTGCCCCTAAATATCCTTCAGCTGATTTAACAAAGACCGGCCAAAATACAATATTGCAGTAAGGAGGATTCCACCATCCACCTCAATGTATCAATGAGGGAATCATACATGTTATACTTACTTGCTCTGTGCAGTGGTTTGGCACAGAGCAGCCCTGATTCTCTTTCTGGGTCCCACGCTGGCGGTCCTGGCTCCTCCCCCCTGCCAAGCGCCCCCAAAAGCAAACTGCTTCCTATGGGAACACGCAAGCAGGCTCGCTCCCAAGCCATGCTCTGTGTCCATTCACACACACAGAGCGGGGCTTGGCTCCATCCCTGCTCTCTCCTCATTAGCTCACTGGCTGTGTGACAGCAGAAGCCAAAGGCTGCTCTGGGAGCCAATGAGGAGACAAAGCCGTTGCGCTTGTGTACATCGCTAGATCAGTATTGAACGTAAGTATTTGGGGTGCTGCAGGGGGAGCTGCAACCAGGTGTTTTACCTTAATGCAAACTTTGAGCCTTTAGAACCACTTTAAACCAGGTGATGTGAAAGCTTGCAGCTCCCCAGGACAGTGTGACCTTATGCCATGCTTTAGATCACATGATGGAACCAGAGCTTTTAATATCAAAAGAAAGAAAAAAAAAAAAAAAAAAAAAAAAAAAAAAGATATTTTTAATATAGGCCTACTCGAAGCTGATGATATTCGCATACAATGTATATCTAAAAAAAAAAAAAAAAACCAAAAAAAAAAACCTGGTCAGGCTAGACAATATAACCAAGTAAAACCAATACTCACTTTGATATCACTCTCTTTAATATCAAGCTCAGTTCCATCTTTATACTGCACAGTATAAAACTGAGTTGAAGGATCAAACGACACAATCTGTACTTCATAGTAAAGGTTGCTTCCTGGCCATCTTCCCATGACAGCGGATCCGCTGTCAAATTTTTGACTTGTCATTTTGAAGAGATTTAACTCTATAAAAGAAAATAACAAAAAGAAAAAGGTAACACTCCAGCATTGAGAGAAACTTTTCATGTCAACTATTTAAAGGGCAATGATTTTGTGACCAAAGATTTTTGAAAGCTTAAATGAGCAGACCAAATTTATCAGCATCAGAAAAGAACATTTTCTTAGTTTATCATCAAGTCTGAGAACTGGAGATACACAGCTCTGCATTCCCAGTTTCCTGCTGCAAGGTGAATCACATACTAACAAAGGACATTTTTCACGCAGACTGACACCCCGGTCACATCAAAGCCGATTTTGAAATCGTGCGACTTACAGTGAATTTGCACGATTTCAAAATCAGGTGACCTGCCGATTTCAGTTGCACTTTGCAAGACATCTGACACAGAGGTCTATGCAAATCGCACCAAAAGTAGTGCATGCCCTACTTTAGAAATCGGTGCAGCTCCGACCAAGTCGGGAACGGAACAATATGACCGCTCTAATAGCGGACAATAGGGTGCGACTTGGCATATGACTTGCCAGTTGCCTGGCATGCACATCGCATGCCAAGTCGCACATCGCATGCCAAGTCGCACCCGATGTGAACGGGGGCTTAAAGGTGTATTGTGGTCACAAAGGGGTTAAGCTCCAAGGGGAAGGTAAGCAAGTTAGATGCCCCTCCTTACCTATAAGTACCAATAAAGTGTTACTAAACCCACAACAGTAAGATCAGTCTGTATACAGTGTGGAAAATTGATTCTCTGCAGATTTTGTAAGTTACAATGCGACATCCAAGAAACCTTAAGGATTTAGAGATCTGTAAAGGAGAGTGGACCAAAATCCCTCCTGAGATGTGTGCAAACCTGGTAACTATAAGAAATGTCTGACCTCTGTGCCTGCCAACAAGGGTTTCTCCACCAAGTACTAAGTCAAATACTTATTTTACACACCAAGCTGCAACTCAATATAAAACATTTGTATCATGTGTTTTGTTCTAGATTTTTGGTTGAAATTCTGTCTCTATCATTTAACCACTTCCCTTCTGGCCCATGTATATATGTTTATAAATGGCCTCCCTGCTTGTGCACGCTCCCTGGGAGCGTGCAGCACCGCGATCCAGTGGATCACTTGACATCATTGCTTACTACTAGTGAAATCTGTGAACGATCACAGAGGTCACATGGTACAGGGCTATTCACAAATCCTTGTACCATGTGACAAGCTGTGACATGTGACAGCTCACACAGTATTTCTCAATGGCTGCAAGAATGCAGTAAGGAGAAATGATTGCTTTTACAGCCTTTATGGGTGTAAAAGCAATCAGTGTAAAAAAAAAAAAAAAAAAAAAACACCTTCATAACCTCCCACAAGTAGTACAGTGTCACTATGGTGACACTGTACTGCTAGGGTGACAGTATGTAAAAAAAAAAAAAAAAATAAATACTATAATAAAAATAAAACCGTAAAAAAACTGAAAACATTTTGGCCAAGATTTATGAAGAAAGATTATTTGCAAAATTTTATAAGAAAACCACTTTTCAAAATTTTTGGACTTTTTCACTTATATAGCAAAAAAAATAAAAAATCCCAGTGGTGAATAAATACCACCAAAATAAAGTTTTATCTGTCTCAAAAAAATATTTTAAAAATTCATATGGGTAGAGTGTTGCATGACCGAGCAATTGTCATTCAAAGTGTGATAGCACTGCAAGCTGAAAATTGGCCTGGACAGGAAGGGGTGAAAGTGTCCGGACTTGAAGTGATTAAACTACACCTATGACAAAGAAATGAAGGATCTATCATTTTTATAA